GAGAGAGAGAGAGAGAGAGAGAGAGAGAGAGAGAGAGAGAGAGAGAGATCAAGAGTGAAGCATGATCATGGGTCCCAAGCATCAATCTTAGAGCAAGGCAAAAAAAAAAAAAAAAAAAAGGAGTCTGGGAAAGAGTTTGCCAAGGTGCGATCGGACGCCCAATATGGAATGATGACAACCCGTCCGTATGGTTCTCACTGCTGACGGTTCATCTTTCGCGCATGCATGTATATGTCACACGCATTCACTAATTAAGGCGTGTAACTTGATTGGTCCCGTTCATTTCCTTGCCATACATACAGGAGCACAACATCACGAGGTGCCTCGCGACGAAGACCCGTACGAATTCGCCGTCACGGACAAAACCGTCACACGGATGTGCGGTCGGCTTCGCTCGACCTTTGCGTGGTGGAGCTCATGGTGCCCTTGCAGCCTTGTTCTATCCATAATCGCCAACGGTTACTGGCTTCCATGGAGCCACGGCCCACCACCGGCCTTCCGGGAGCGGAACCACGCCGGTGCATACGCGCATGCTACGTTCACACGTACTGCCATCCAAGAACTCACAGAGACCGGGGCTGCAGTCGAGACAGCCGCAAGCGAGCTTACGTGCATAAGCCCACTTAACGTGGTCGAGCAGAGAGAAAAATGTAGGCTCATCCTTGACCTGAGAAAAGTCAACGCAAACCTCATCGTTCCAAAATTCAAGTACGAAGGACTCAGCCGCGTGGCAGACGTGGCATGCACGAGCTGGGGATTGGATGTTTTCTATCGATCTCAAATCCGGGTACCATCACATCGACATCCATCCCTCGTGCTGGAAGTTTCTCGGTTTCGGATTCGATGGGCGCACTTACTCCTTTCGTTCATTGCCGTTCGGTCTTGCGACAGCCCCATTCGTCTTCACGCAACTCATCAAGCAGCTAGCCCGTCGCTGGCGAGAGCAAGGCATTCGAGTAGTACCATACGTGGACGACATCTTATTCCTTTGCCAGTCAAAAGCCCACGCGCAGGCCACGTGCCACCGTGTGATACTGGACCTTAAAGCAGCGGGTTTGGTGATAAACGCGAAGAAATCACAACTGTCACCATCGCAACACCTTCGATTCTTGGGTGTGGAGCTAGACACGGTCACCGGCCGATTTACCATCGGTCCCGAACGACGAGCCTCACTTCATGCAACCATTCGGAACCTGTTGAGCGCAAGCAAGGCCTGTCGACCCGTCTCAGTTCGCCAAGTGGCCAGAATCACAGGCATGCTCGCGTCAATGGGCGTCGCGCTGGGTGCAACAGCTCGTGCCTTCAGCCACGCCATGCTACAAGTGATCAATGACGCACCTTCATGGAAAAGCAGCGTGATCATCCCCCCACCTGCGGCTGAGGAGCTAAACTTCTGGCTCGAAGAGTTTGATCGGTTCAACGGTGCGCCGTTTCACGTTCGAAACAGCTACGATGCTGTAATCCATGTGGATGCCAGCGTTCACAGTTGGGGCGCCACTTTGACCACCTTCCCTGGCGGCCTCGAAGAAGCCAGCGCAACAATGCCAGAGCCGCTGCGAGCGACGTCCAGCACACGGAGGGAGATCGAAGGAGTGCTTTGGGCACTCCAAACATACTCCAGCAAGATCAGACACAAACATGTTCTTGTGCGGGTGGACAATCAGGGCGTCTTCTTCATCCTTCGCAAAGGTGGCTCGCGCAGCCCCGACCTTACCACGGCCTGCCAAGCCATCATTCGGATATGCATGGAGCACGGCACGCGTCTAATCATCGAATGGATCCCACGCGAGCTAAACTCACACGCTGATGAGCTCTCAAAAGCAGTCGATCATGACGACTACTCGTTGAAGACGCCGTGGTTCCGCATCTTAGAACGACGTTGGGGTCCCCATTCCATCGACCTCTTTGCAAATCCCCGCAACTCTCAGCTGCCACGCTTCTGCACGAAAATTCCTCACCCACAAGCCACCGCAGTAGACGCATTCTCGCTTGCTTGGACAGCAGAAAATAGCTTTGCTTTCCCCCCGCCCCACTTAGTACCGGCCGTCCTCCATCACGCACAACGCACCCATGCATCGCTCACACTGATCATCCCACACTGGCCGGGTGCAAACTGGTGGCCACTCATACAACCTTCCCCACGAAACTGGGCACCGTACATCCACGCGCACATTCCCTTGACACACGGCAGCCAGTGCCTGGCAGCGGGAACACATTCCACTGCCTTTTCAGGCACCGGATTACCACACAGCCCAATGATCGCACTTCGGGTGGTATTCGACTAATTGAGAGCGTACGTGCCTTGTGTCCAGACCCGCTACCAAAGCTACACAACCAACTCATCAACATGCTCACACAATCGCGAGCGAATTCGACGATCCGTACATACGAACCGTACTGGACCAAGTTTCGGGCCTTCTGCACAAAGGTGGATCTTCCCTTTCTTCCCGCGTCCGACATGGCCCTCGCGCTATACTTGGTGCATGCAATCCAACGCAAAGCAACCTTGTCTGTAGTACAGCTCACGTGCTCGGCAGTCAGCTTCGCCCATCGCATGACTGGAAGCAAATGCCCGACTGTCGGACCGTTTACCACCCAAGTGCGGGACTAGGCGAAACGACACTGCCCTCGCCCTAGTCGTTTGAAGGAGCCTGTATCAATCCAACAAGTTCGGGACATGTCCGCGAACTACTTGCAGTCGGCCAATCCTGCTGAATTTCAGAAGGGGTTGATCCCTATCCTCATGTACTCCGGATTTTTGCGATACTCCGACCTGGTTGCCATCCAGTGGCAAGACATCCAATTCGACGACGAAGTCATGTGGATCCTCATCCCACACTCCAAAACGGACCAGGCTGGTCGTGGAACTTGGATCCCCATCGCAGCAACGACGGACCCCTGTTGCCCAGTGCGCTGCACCCAACGCTTCATCCAACTCGCAGGCTATGGCCCGCATTCAGAAGGGTCGCTGATTCGCGTTTTTGGCCACGCTTCAGCCAACAAGGGCCAGGCCAAGCCACCCTCGTACACAACGATCCGGAACTGGTGTAAAGAAGCATTCGCAAAAGTTGGACTTGGGGAGCAGCAGCTCGGCACGCACTCCTTCCGAAAGGGCGCGGCAACCGTAGCAGCCAACATCGGCGTTCCGGACAGGATCTTCAAAAGGATGGGCAGGTGGCGAAGTGACACAGCCAGAGAGATGTACGTGACACCATACGTCGGACATCTTATCAAGGCATCCCGCGACCTACAGGACCCGACATACGCACTGCCCCCAGAACAGCATGCGGAGGCACTCTTACGCAACCGGAAGCCACCACTGCCCATGTCTCAGAGGCCCCAGTTGCAATGAGAACGATGCCAAATTATAAGGACAAGAAAGCAAGCTTTCTCAATATTATAATTTTTAAACACATTGATGTTTTTCAAAATTGTGTATTGTGAAAGCGAAGCTGCCTGTACCGAATATTTGGCAGCGTCGAAGCGCGCTAAACGCCCTTCTCCAACTACAAAAACCGTGGGTTGGAGTTCATTCCCTCCACCCACGTTTCTCGTTTTCCAACGGCTCAATCAACATCCCCACCACCCACCCCGGACCAACTACAAGACCACAGCTGCTTGGACGGACGACTCCATAGCTAGTAATATTTGCATGTACTAGCATGTGTTTAAGAACGATGCATATGTTGTAATAAGCCAGTTGCAATGAGAACGATGCCAAATTATAAGGACAAGAAAGCAAGCTTTCTCAATATGATGTTCCCATGTTTTTTTGGGAGGAGATTCAGCCTTCTGAAACATTAGTGAAACTCAGAGCATGCCAGCCTTGCAATCTTCTGATGTACTCAAATCAATGTACTCAACCTCAACAAATTATACTAAATAAATACTCTACACATTTTGGGTTGCTATGCCACAGGTGCATACTGGTGCAGGCAGGGATGCACAGGTGGAAGCAGTAGGATGCAGCTGCTGCGTGTTGATGGCATGAGCTTTGATGAGGGGCTGGCTCGGCCATGAGGCGGCCATGAGGAGGCTACGAGGAGGCTATGAGGTGGCCCTGAGTTGGCTAGGAGACGGTTAGGATATTGCTATGGCTATCAGACTGGTACTACATGGCTATAAGATGGCCAAGAGAATCGCATGACCCGAGCATGCACCTGTGAAGGCTGGAAGAACGGTTCTGAGGGGTGGAAGGTGGTGGCTGACACGGATGGCTGAGAGTGGTCCTGATTTCCTAAACCATGCGGAACCCCATGGCTCCGGTGGAAAAAACAAAACCTGGTTAGGTGAGAGCCTTCACGTCTTTTGACAAGCCAGCTAGAATGTGTGGCGGTGGTGAGGGGCAGGGCTAGAGCGTGGCGAAAGCGATGTCCATGGGTTGGCGGCTGCAGAGTGCAGCAGATGAGGGAGTTGTGGAAGGTGGAAGGTGCGCTGTGGATGACACGCGCACAGGTGGGCTGGAAACAGAAGCCTTGTTTCCTCCACGGGCTAGAGCGTGGCGGCAGCAACGTCCATGGCCTGGCGGATGCGCTGCACGGTGCAGCAGATGAGCGAGTTCACTGTTGCCATGCTCTCCGTCGTCAGCTTCGCCTGCCACCACATGCCATGCCATGCCATGCCATGCCATGCCATGCCATGCCATGCCATGCCATGCCATGCCATGCCATGCCATGCCAGTCGTATGGTGGTGGGTGGGGGGGCGATGGGGTGTGGGATGGGGGGGGGAGTGAGGGTGGTGGGGTGGTGGCAGGCAGTGAAGAGTTTGGTTGTGCTATGGAAGCGGTCACAAGAGTCAACTGGAAAAAGTAAGGCCTGGGCTAGCACACTCGCTCCAGAATTCGATATAAGCAACAGCGGAGATAACGGCAATGGGGAGCAAAGAGCACAGCACCATCTCCATCCCAGCGCTGTGTGAGCACAGCGTTGCGGCGTCAGCTTCACGCACATGCCCCAGCCAGCACCCTCTCCCTCGCACCACATCTGAATCGACTCAAACGTCATACCTGGGGGTTAGGGCTGACGAGAATCTGGAAGGAGACAGTGAGAATGGATCCTTCCGGCACATGCCCCAGCGCCCTCTTCCTCGCAGCACTCCGCATGGCCTGCGCTGCCAGACTATCCACCTCGCCCCCCTGCTGCCACGCCTCCTCCGCCCCCCCATATCCGCCGTTCCCCCCCGGCCCCCCGGCAAATGCTGCCGAGGCTGCGCCGCCCGCGGTGGGCTGGACAGGAGCGGCGTGGAAGAGAGCTACTCGTTGGTTGGAGGAGAGGGCGCAGTCGGGGAGGAGAGAGAAGCCCGAGGGGAGGAGGGCGACCGAGTCAGAGGAGCCGCCTGAGATGACCTCCTTCATTGCTGGTATGTCCACCGGTGCGTACACTATGAGGGCTCCTGAGAAAGGGTGGAGATAAAGGGGGAGAGGGGAGGGGGGAGCAGGCAGGGGGGAGGGGGGAAGGGAGGAGGGAGAGAGAGTGAGAAGAGGGAAGCATGGGTGGCTGTGGACGGAAGAGAGGGCGCAGTCGGGGAGGAGAGAGAAGCCCGAGGGGAGCAGAGCGACGGAGTCGGAGGAGCCGCCTGATATGACCTCCTTCATTGCTGGTATGTCCACTGGCGCGTACACTATGAGGGCGCCTGAGAAAGGGAGAAAGGGGAAGAAAGGGAGGAGGGTAAATAAGAGGTGGGAGGACAGGAATGAAACGGAACGAACGGCGCTTGGCGTCGATTGGACGAAAGGTCGCACACCTGAAAATAACCTAAAGGTCACCTGAAAAACACCTGGAAATCACCTGAGGTTCCACCTGGGCTCACCTGAGGGGTCGAAGGTGGTCTCCTGGAGAATGAGCATGTTGGTCTGTGCTCCTGGACCTGCTGCTGCCTGCTGTTAGTGGGCAGAAGGCAGGGTGAGTGAACACATGGAGGGGTGAGGGCGGGGGGCAGGGGGAAAGGAGGGCGGAAAGGAGCGGGCGGAGACCAGACGAAAAGACGGGAGAAGGGAGGAGGGCGGAAGGGAAGCGCGCATGCGGAAGGGAAAAGCCTTGGTACATCCAAGTACACCTGATGTGAGTACGTCTCAACACACCATGGGCTAAGGGGCGAGCACTGACCTGCACTTTAAGCAGCGACACACAGTTGCCATGGTCCACGCCTATGGGTATTCTCCCCATCTCTGACACCACTGACCCGCTCGTTAGGATGTCCCACTGAAGAAGCACACGGGGAGAAGGTACGAGGGAGGGAGGGAGCAAGAAGAGGGAGGGAAGAGGAAAGAGGAACGGGGTTGAGTGCATGCAGCACAAGGAGGGGAGAGAGGAGAGAGAAGGGGGTGGAGGGTACTCGCCCCATCTCTCCACCTCCCCGATCTCCGTTTCTCCCAATCCTTCCCTTACTCACCTCACGCCTTGTTTGTTCGTTGCGCAGAAACTCAAAAGCGAGTGGCATGGGCACGGGCAGCCAGACAGAAGCAGCGGCGTTCAGAAGCAGCGGCGTTCAGAATGACCCCCAGAGGCTCCCCCGCGCCCGTCACACTGCGTCTCATCGCTACCCACACCTCCACCGCCCCCATCGCCGCTGCTGCTGCTGACGGCCCCCCTGCGGCCCCCATGCCCTCCCCCTCGCCCCCCATCCCCCCTCCCCCTGCAGTGCTTGCGCCAGCAGTTGCGGCGGCCCCCCCTGCAGCGGTACTGGCAGCCGAGGGGCGGTCTGAGTTGTCAATCACCTTCCAGGAATGCCTGAGGGGTGATATGAGAGGATGAGTGAGAGATGAGGACAGGACGAGGAGGAAGATTAGGGATCAGCGGCTATGGCTTTTCCTCTTGCTGTGGCACTGGCAGCCGAGGCGGTCAGTTGCCAATCACCTTCCAGGAGTGCCTGGTGGGGGTGCAGGTGGAGTGAGGGGCTGGGATGGGAAGGTGACATGAGAGGTTGAGACGGGAGAAGATGGTGCAGTGCGGTGTGGCGACAACACAGCAAGAAAGCACGGTCAGAGTTGTGAACCACCTTCCAAGAAGGCCCATTGGTGATGAAGGTAATGTGAGGGATGGCATGAGGGGTGGGACCACCGCAGCTGATGTTGCGAGCACCCCAGGCGATATCTGGTGCAGGTGGTACCTGGGCGTTACTTAAAGCGAAACTTACCTGGTGGAGGAGGAGAGCCCAACACAGAAGTTGGAGAGCATGCGGCCGGCAAGGCGGAGCATGGCGCGGCGGCCCTGCTGCGACACGATGCCACTGTCCCTCGATGTGGGGTTCCCCAGCAGCTCTCCAAACCGCACGCACTGGTGGTGCAGCGCTGCCATCCACCTCGCCGCTCCAAAGCCCAGAGCGGCCGAAACGATTGGTCTGTGGGAATGGGGGGAGGGAGGGGGGGGGGGGGGGGGGGGGGGGGGCGGGCTGGATTCATGTCTCTCGACGTGGGGTTACCGAGCAGCTCTCCAAACCGCACGCACTGGTGGTGCAGCGCTGCCATCCACCTCGCCGCTCCGAATCCCAATGCTGCTGCCACGATTGGTCTGGGGGACAGGGTAGGAGTTGACTTGAATGGGACAGGGCAGGGAGACGACTTAGGCGGGGGAAATTCACTTGAAGAATTCACTTGGAGGGAGGAATTAAGTTGAAAATTCGACTGTTGCAGAAGAGCAAGGGCTGCACTGCACCTAAGGCCCACCAGAAGAGTGGCGGCACTCCCAAGGCCCACCTGAAGAGTGGCGGCACTCCCAAGGGGTCTGCTTCGACATGCTCCACCAGTGTGACCTGACTGCTGCCGTTGGGTGTCTCCTGGTGATGGTGATGGTGGGGAGGTGAGAAGAAGAGGGGATGAAGGAGAGAAGTACGAATGGGGTCAGAAATGGTGGGGCGGACGAGGGCAGCATGCGGCTGTACTGGAGAACATCTAAAACTCTCATCCAGCCCACCTGAATGAGGATGCCTGAGACATCCACCACGGCCCAGCAGGTGGGCGAGAGGTGCAGAAGGCAGCAGAGAGGAGCAGTACCAGCGCCACCAAAGCAGTACCAGCGCCACCAAAGCAGTACCAGCGCCAACAAAGCAGTACCAGCGCCACCAAAGCAGTACCAGCGCCACCAAAGCAGTACCAGCGCCAACAAAGCAGTACCAGCGCCACCAAAGCAGTACCAGCGCCACCAAAGCAGTACCAGCGCCAACAAAGCAGTACCAGCGCCACCAAAGCAGTACCAGCGCCACCAAAGCAGTACCAGCGCCACCAAAGCAGTACCAGCGCCACCAAAGCAGTACCAGCGCCACCAAAGCAGTACCAGCGCCACCAAAGCAGTACCAGCGCCACCAAAGCAGTACCAGCGCCAACAAAGCAGTACCAGCGCCACCAAAGCAGTACCAGCGCCACCAAAGCAGTACCAGCGCCACCAAAGCAGTACCAGCGCCAACAAAGCAGTACCGGCGCCACCAAAGCAGTACCAGCGCCACCAAAGCAGTACCAGCGCCACCAAAGCAGTACCAGCGCCACCAAAGCAGTACCAGCGCCACCAAAGCAGTACCAGCGCCACCAAAGCAGTACCAGCGCCACCAAAGCAGTACCAGCGCCACCAAAGCAGTACCAGCGCCAACAAAGCAGTACCAGCGCCACCAAAGCAGTACCAGCGCCAACAAAGCAGTACCAGCGCCACCAAAGCAGTACCAGCGCCACCAAAGCAGTACCAGCGCCACCAAAGCAGTACCAGCGCCACCAAAGCAGTACCAGCGCCACCAAAGCAGTACCAGCGCCACCAAAGCAGTACCAGCGCCACCAAAGCAGTACCAGCGCCAACAAAGCAGTACCAGCGCCACCAAAGCAGTACCAGCGCCACCAAAGCAGTACCAGCGCAACCCCAGCCCACCTGAATGAGGATGCCTGATGGCCGTCTTCGGCACTTGAGCATGACAGGAGGAGGCTCGCTTCTGAGGCGATCCACAGACACGTCAACCACGGCCCAGCAGGTGGGGGAGAGCTGCTTGCAGTAGCGCAGGAAGAAGGCCTCCCGTGTTGGCACCTGGGGTGTGAGCATCTGCGTTTCCAGGTACATCTGATGGGGCAGGGGGGAGAGAGTGAACGAGGGAACGAGGGGAGGGGCGAGTGAATGAGGGAATGAGAAGAATGACTTATGTGTGTGACAGGCCAGCAGGTGGAGGAACCACTCACGAGCTGCAGAGTGCCGTTGCCTTGGGTGGGTTCGTTGCCAGCACAAATGACATCCACCACCACGGCGCGGGACACCAGCGACGGCAACCTACCCCCTGCGCGGCAATCATTCCCCTGCCCTACCAGCCACAGAGCAACGCACCAGTTGCAGAGTGCCGTTGCGCTGCGTGGGTTCGTTGCCCACACAAATGACATCAACCACCACGGCGCGGGACACCAGCGAGGGCAGCATCTCCGCCCACTTCACGGGATCCATGAAAAGCTCCACCAGGGCCAGTGCGTTCAGCGACACCACTCCGCGCGCCCTCGATGCTTCAATGGACAGCCCCGGAGGGCCGTCGCCCACACAGTTGGGGAACCGCAGCCGATACTCCGTGCGGTTCAGCTGCTCGCCCCCATTCCCCGCCATGCCCCCTCCGCCATTCCCCATCCCCCCGTTCCCCGCCGCCCCTACCCCCCCGCCGCCCCCCGCGCCCCCGCTTCCCCCGCTCCCGCCACTCCCGTGCCTGTCGAAGGCTCGGGAGAGCAGGCCCGGGAGCCAGAGAGGTTCGTTGATCTGCGCCAAGCCTACCAGCTCCTCTAGAGAGGAGACAGCTAGGTCCATCACCACATCTCTCTCTGAGTCTGACAACCCCCCGCCCTCCCCTGATGCGCCTAGCAGTGCGCCCATGGCCTCCCCCCCCACTGGGTTGATCATGCCCCCGCCTGTCCGCAACGACGCTGGGAATCCTGGGCCTAGTCCTAATGCCCCCCCTGCTGCTGCTGCTCCTCCCGCTCCTCCCACTCCTCCTATTCCTCCTGCTGCTAGCCCCAGCCCGCTAGCCAGACCGAACAAAGACCCGTTTGCTCCTCCACCTCCCCCTCCCCCTCCTCCGCCTGCCGCTGCTGCTGTGGCGTCAGCATGAGCAGCAGTGCGGGCAGCTCCATTTCCCCCCATGTCGTATAGCAAACCGCTGCTGCTGCTCCCTGCTCCCCCTCCCCCTCCCCCTCCCCCTCCTCCGCCTCCTCCTCCTGCAGCAGCAGCAGCATGAGGAGAGGCATTGGAGTGGTTGCTTCGCCCCGTGTTGCTGCGGTGGAATTCTGACAACCCGTCCATCCCACTCGCCCCCACGCCTCCCGCCCCTGCTGCCCCCCCTCCCGCTGCTGCTCTCGCTGCAGCAGCAGCTGATGCATCAGCACCCATACTTGCAGCTAATCCCATCATCCCATGATCTCCCATTCCCCTCCCAGCAGCCGCTGCCGCAGCAGCAGCAGCAGAGAAGCCACCTTGACTTGCGTCTGTGTTGAATCGGGACGAAGGGACCATATCCCCTAGCAACCCTCCCATCGCCTGCTGCTGCTGCTGTTGCTGCTGGTGCTGCTGCTGTTGAAACTGCTGCATGCGTTGCAGAGCATTGGCACTCGACTCAATGCCAAAACTCCCACCACCAGCACCAGCAGCACCAGCAGCACCACCACCGAAATCCCTGCCTCCCATACCCATGGCACCACTGCCATCCTGCACCATTCCAGGGCTACCAAAACCATCCATACCCCCACCCCCATTCCCACCCCCGCCAGCACCACCGCCACCATTGCCGGCAGCAGTCATGTTCCCCCCGCCCGCGCCCATGGCTGCGGCCTGCATGGCGCCAGCAGCAGCAGCGTTGAGAGCAGCGACTGTGGCGGGCCCCATGGGATCCACTGCGCCCCTTGCTGCCAGCTGCCGCGCTGCCAGCATCGACACTCGCTCTATCTGCCATGTGATGGATGGACGCGATGGCGAAGAGACAATATAGGGGATAGCAGAAACGGGGAGAGGGATGAAACGGGGAATAACGATGGTGGAAGCAGGGGGAGAGTGGCAGGCAGATCCCATGGGATCCACAGCGCCCCTTGCTGCCAGATGCCACGCTGCCAGCAGGGACTCACGTTCTATTTGTCATGTAGTAGCAGGAGAGGAGGCTGGGAGGACAGGAGATAAGTCAAGGCACTCACTCACTCACGGCAGTTCGCATCACCAATGGCCTAGTGCTAAGCCTTACCTCGTTCTTGAGGTGCGCGTTCTCCTCCATGAGGTGAGCCGCCACGGCCGAGGCATCGTGCATGGGATCACCACCACTCCGTGGCACGAGGCGAGTGTGGCACGCGGGGCATGCAGCACCCGCCAGCACCGACCGCAGCCGCATCACCAATGCCATGGATTGAACCCCTCCTTACCTCGTTCTTGAGGTGCGCGTTTTCCTCCATCAACTGAGCCGCTACCGCCGAGGCATCGTGCATGGGGTCACCTCCACTGCCGGGCACGAGGCACATGCCTAGCGTCAAGGCACTCACTCAAAGCACTTCACACACTACCGGTGCCCTGAAGCTAACCCCCTACCCACCTCGTTCTTGAGGTGCGCGTTTTCCTCCATGAGTTGAGCTGCCACAGCCGAGGCATCGTGCATGGGATCACCTCCACTCCCCGGCACGAGGCGAGTGTGGCATGCAGGGCATGCAGCACCCGCCAGCACCGACCGCAGCCGCATCACCTCGCTGCGCAACCGGTCATTCTCCTGCCGTAGCATTGCGTTCTCTGCCCTCTCCGTTTGCGCCTGGTGATGCCAAGAGACAAAGGGAAGGAAGGGAGTGGAAGGAAGGCAGCCGCATCACCTCGCTGCGCAGCCGATCGTTCTCCTGCCGCAGCATTGCGTTCTCTGCCCTCTCCGTTTGCGCCTGGTGATGCCAAGAGACAAAGGGAAGGAAGGGAGTGGAAAGGAAGGCAGCCGCATCACCTCGCTGCGCAGCCGATCGTTCTCCTGCCGCAGCATTGCGTTCTCTGCCCTCTCCGTTTGCGCCTGGTGATGCCAAGAGACAAAGGGAAGGAAGGGAGTGGAAAGGAAGGCAGCCGCATCACCTCGCTGCGCAGCCGATCGTTCTCCTGCCGCAGCATTGCGTTCTCTGCCCTCTCCGTTTGCGCCTGGTGATGCCAAGAGACAAAGGGAAGGAAGGGAGTGGAAAGGAAGGCAGCCGCATCACCTCGCTGCGCAGCCGATCATTCTCTTGGCGCAGCATCGCGTTCTCTGCTCTCTCCGTTTGGGCATGGAGATGACAACAGGCACAGGGAAGAGTCACACACACAGGTGCATTAGGAGGGTCAGGGCAAGACAGGACGGGGCTGGAGCAGCAGCAGCTGCATCACCTCGCAGCGCAGCCGATCACCACATTGCAATGCACCGTACCGTACTGCACACACCGCACAATGCACTGCACACCGATCACTGCACACCGATCACTGCACACTCCACGAGAGCCTGTTGGAATACAAGTTGCATTCACAAGCACAGCAGCCGTCCACTCACCTTCATCTGCGTGCGTCTGTTCTGAAACCAGAACTTGACTTGCCGCGGCGCCAACGATAGTCTACATTTGAGGCGCGTCAACAATAGAGCTTGCCGTCACTCACCTTCATCTGCGTGCGCCTGTTCTGAAACCAGAACTTGACTTGCCGCGGCGCCAGCGACAGCCGTTGACTCAGCTGCTGCCGCTGCCGCTCATCTGGATGCGGGCACTCGCGGAACAACCTGGCAGGTGCTCAGAGGAGCGGGGAGACAGAAGAGACAGCTGAGACGGCAGATATGGCAGGTATGGCAGAGCAGAGACGGCAGTTCAAAGATAGCACATAGGGCAGAAGCAGAATCCACAGCAGCAAGCATCCACATGCATACACACACGCACGCACTCATGCACACACCGTTCCATTTCTTGGATCTGCTGAGCCGTGTGGCGGTGATACCGCTTGCCCTTCTTCTTATCCCTCCCGCCCATCCCCTCCCCATCTGACGTCCCATCCTCCTCGCTCCCCGACCGGCTATCGTCTCCCCCACCTCCCCCCATTCCTCCCAACCCCCCCAACCCCCCCATTCCCCCCACCCCCCCATTTGACCCGCCACCAGCGCCACCTCCTTCCCCTCCCGGTCTGTTCCCCCCAACTCCTGCTTGCACTCCGCCGTTCTGCTCCGCCCCTGCACCTCCGCTTCCGCTTCTCCCTGCGGGAGCTTGCGCTTCCCGCGCGCTTACCCCGCCGCTTCCGCCGCTACCCCAGCTGCTGCCTCCTTCCCGCCCGAAGCCGTCTCGGTTTGCGCCGACCTGCGTCTCAGGCGCGCTGAATGGCCCCGAGGGGGGGAACGGATTGGCGGAAATCTCCTGCGCGCTGGGGAGATTGTTGAGCAAATCGCCGAGCACCTGGCGCGTGACGCGCCGCGGAGGGGACATGCACAGAGGGGAAAGGGAGATGCGCGGAGGGCGAGGAGATGCGCGGAGGGCGAGGAGATGCGCGGAGGGCGAGGAGATGTGCGGAGGGCGAGGAAGGAGGCAGGCAGGGGGACGGGAGCAAAGCGAGCGCGAACAGGGGACGAGAAGGCGACAGGTGAAGGCAAATTATGCTACCATCAGCGTTGCGACGTAGCGAATAAGAAAAGAACAGATGAATTGATTGAGGGGCATTATGCTCATTGAACTGAGCAAACGCACGTGTCAGCGCAGAAAGCGGCTCGTCGCGTCCGCCACCTAAGAAGCAAACGGTAAAACTGACGCATGTGACATCTGAGGAGCTACTAATAACACTGAATAACGTCCGTAAGACCGCCCTGCAGTTGACCTATCTGACCTGATCGCTGTCGCCTGTCTTCTCCATTCTTTACTTTGCCAAATATCGACGAGCCTCCGCTCGACGCGTGCGCGATGCGAGGAATTAAATCTGCGGATAGTCTAATGACGATGAATCGTAATCCAAGCCGCGGGCGTCGCGCCGGACTGGTCTACGGGGTTCCCGTGTTCATCGGCCTGGTTCGGAAACAGTGCGGAATTTCAAAAAGAGCCCCTTTCTATAAGAACTGCAATGCCAGCCGCTTCGCCAATTACTGCTGCTGACGTGGGCGAGCATGGCACTCGCCAAGCAGCACACGAGAGTCAAGCGTCCAAGACAAACTATGCATGGAACGGTCGTCACATTAGCAAACTGGATTGATCTCCACAGCTCCAACCGAAGGATTGAGTGCAGAAGGGTGAGCTGGAGAGAGTGAGGAGCATTTACTACCCGAGCAGCAGATTCCAGTGTTATTTGCTGTCCTTGAGCACGTCTGCCAACGCCATTAACTACGCGCGATTCACTTGGCTCGGCCGAGGACGAACAAGGCAACCACTATTTTGGGATGTGTGAGGAAGCACACAGCACGACTAGGGTTTCGCTCACATCTTGCCGTCAGGGAAGTTCCACGCTGTCACGATCGACGGTTGAGAGGAACTCTATCCTCCCAACATTAATGCTCCAGATACGTTCCGACCACCCCTCATAAAGGCGTGAGAAGTGTACACTCAAGTGGAGGATTAGGGGTTGCCCTGACCGGGACATTCAGGAATCTGCGTCCAACAACAAACAATTTTGTTCCTCCGACATTTCTTCAGAAGTTTCGTCTGGAATCGAATCAAACCCCAGATGATCATCACTCAAGGGACAGGTGGCCAGTGGCCATATGTTGGGCTGCGGGAGGGTTTCTCTCGTTGCGTTCTGCATACCCATCCAAATCTGAGCAGAGACCTTCTCCCGCCACTGTAAGGTGAGGCGAGGCTTTACTCTTTCGAAAACCACGCTAAAAGTGACGCCCTGACGTACTGCATGCTCCCAACCTCGGTGCCGAGAGAATTCACCGCTTGATAGAGCGCAGTTTCATGCAGGACAAGTGGGGATTGCCCTTGAACCTGCCCTGAAGCTGAATGAATTACCCGGTTCAACAGGGAAATCTTCCGTAAACCTCTGGAAATTGTTGCAAGCTGGTTTGGCTCGGACCTTTTGTCGCTAGGCTAAAGTGATGCATTTCATTCCAGCTTTTTACACAGTGTACAGCTCCCAAAAACTCTCAACAGCCCGCGCTAAGGATTTTAACTTCGTATTTTCCCGACCCTTCTCAACCAAACTCATACTTGAGCCGCATTCAAACAAACTAACCAATGACATGGGTGTGCACCAGCTGTTCTTCCCCAACAGAATCAAAGGAAGATAAACGAACAACCTCTTGAATGGGAAGGGTTGATGAACCAGGACTACTTGCGATTTTCTCTGCGACTGTCACTCATAGATTAAGCTAAACCAATACCCCCATTTTATTCGAAACCGTACTAGACAGCTCTGTCTCAAAATGTTGCCTATGCATGTGACAATCGCAAAAACGACAAAATGGACACCAATGAAGGTGAACCTTCACTTTCGTCATCTTGAACATACACGTGAAAAGGACACTTCACACGATAAAAAACAGAAGTCAGAACAGTGAGGGAGACGTGGAGGTGATAAACAAAGCACCAGACCAAACCCATGTTTACAGTTTTCAACCGTACTTTACTTTCTAGAAAGGTTCTACACAGAACCATACTGTGCGCACCACTGTACAAACTCCGTGCGAAATAACCGCCAGATTTATGATGCTTTACCGATTTGGGCGAGGAAATAGGGGCCCTTGCTGATTTCGGCAGCAAATTCATTTGCCGGAAAAACTCAAGGCACATTTCTGGTATTTACCAGCAGCAAAATTTCCGCTGGACCGCACAAGCTCCCCTATTTAGTATCCTACCGTATCAGGCATTTATCAGTAGACTTCTAATGTAACCATAATCAAATTCAAGTAAGCAATCACTGCACAGCTGTTGATGGAAATGCCCACACTATTGCATTTGTAGCTGTCGGCTCCATGCACTCCAACCGTCAGTCACTTCAGTGCACCGAGGATAGTGTGCAAGATTGCGAGCCAGAGATCTAATGGAACAAAGAAACAGAATCAAGAATGAGACCTACACAGTGCACCCCATGGCAACACCAACACATAAACCATGTCAACTACACTACATTCTCGCTGTCACTGTAGACGGAATCATTGGTGAGCGGGGTGAGACAGAAGGGCAGGCGGAAGGAGGCAATGATGTTGGCCCGCGAACGGGCAATGGCTCGCCGCCTCTTGGCCTGCTTCGTCTCCGCCTCTGATGGTGGCGGCGGTGCCTCTGGCACCTCGCATTGATTCGCCACCACCCATGGGTGCTCTGTGGAGGTGAGGGAGAGGAGGGAGTATGGCGGGGGGAGAGACGGAGAGCAGAGGGAGAGGATGAATCGAGTGGAGACGAGCGGGGAAATGAGAGAGGGAAATGAGTGGAGGGAAGGGATGTCAACGGGAAGGGAAGAACAGATGAGCTGCTTGGCTTGGCGCAGAAGGATGAAGGTGGCGCTGCCGCCCCGCTCCTCACACGATCTGCCACTCCCGCTCATCCCCACGCCCACTCACCAATCACTTCATCCAAGGTAATGCGCTGGCTGGCATCGCTCGTGAGCATGCAGTGCACAAGTCCTTTAGCATCCCTAGAAATGCCGGTCCAGGGCCCAGTGCGTGTGTCCACATGGCCCTTGAGGATCAGCTTGTACACAACCCCCTCTGCTCCCATCCCACCCATCACACCTCCAACTCGCCCCACTCCGAGTCACTAATCCCATACACCACCCACACCCACACGCACTCACCAATCACTTCGTCCAAGGTAATACGCTGGCTGGCATCGCTCGTCAGCATGCGGTGCACGAGCCCTTTAGCATCCCTCGAAATGCCCGTCCATGGCCCGGTGCGTGTGTCAACGTGGCCCTTGAGGATCAGCTTGTACACGCCTGCATCCGAGTCGTGCCAGAAGGGCAGCTTCTGTGCCAGCAGCACGTACAGCACCACGCCCAGCGACCACACGTCACATTCGAACCCATACGCACCGCCCAGCACCTCTGGCGCAATGTAGAATGGGCTGCCTGCGTACCCACGAATGCGCTCTCCTGATGGGGAGAAGGAAAAGTGGGGGATAGTGGTTGAGTGGCAGCTTCTGCGCCAGGAGCACGTAGAGAACCACGCCCAGCGACCACACGTCGCACTCAAACCCATATGCACCGCCCAGCACCTCTGGAGCGATGTAGAATGGGCTGCCTGCGTACCCACGAATGCGCTCTCCTGATGGGGGGAAGGAAAAGTGGGGGATAGTGGTTGAATGGCAGCTTCTGCGCCAGGAGCACGTAGAGAACCACGCCCAGCGACCACACGTCGCACTCAAACCCATATGCACCGCCCAGCACCTCTGGAGCGATGTAGAATGGGCTGCCTGCGTACCCTCAGATGTGCTCGCCTGATGGGGGGGGGGGGGGAGGAAGGGGAAGAAAGGCGGGGAGGAAATTGGGGAATCTTATGCAATGTAGAGCAGCCTGTCTGTGTACCCTTAAAGGTGCTCGTCTGACGGGTGGGGGAAGGATGAGGGGAACGGGTGTTTGGGTAACCAAAAGGCTAATTTAGGGAGAACAGAGAACACGGTTGACTGAAAGTGTCCTTTCATCCAGTCACCTCGTAGTGACTTGTGAGCAGACTCAGTGTTCCCTGCGTTGACTCAACCGTCACCAACACGCATAGGCCAAGTCCCCACCAACCTGGTTTGAGCATGGCGGAGATGCCAAAGTCAGCCACCCTGAGGTCCCACCAGGCGCCCTTTGCAGCCATGAGGATGTTCTCGGGCTTGAGGTCCCCGTGCACCATGCCCTGGCGGTTGCAGTAGCGCACTGCACACCACACTGTACCGCACTGTACCTGGCTTGAGCATGGCGGAGATGCCAAAGTCAGCAACGCGCAGGTCCCACCAGGCGCCCTTGGCGGCCATGAGTGTGTTCTCGGGCTTGAGGTCCCGATGCACCACGCCCTGCCGGTGGCAGTAGCACAGTGCACCCCACGATCCCCATACACCCTCCCATCCCACATACCTGGTTTGAGCATGGCAGAGATGCCGAAATCCGCAACCCTCAAGTCCCACCAGGCGCCCTTAGCGGCCATGAGGATGTTCTCTGGCTTGAGGTCCCGATGCACCACTCCCTGGTGGTGGCAGTAGCGCACCGCATCAGCCAGGCGCCTGACAATGGTGGCGGCCTGCTGCTCTGAAATGGCCGGCGCCGTGTTCACGAAGTTGAGGAGGTCGCCCCCACTGCACAGCTCCATCAGCAGGTGCACGTGCTGAGGGGGAGGAGGAGGGAGGGGGGGGAGGGGGGTTGAGGAGGGAGGGGGCGGAGGGAGAAGAATCTCTGCATTTCACCCCTGAACCGAAGCATGCAAGGGCACCCATCGCACTGCTATCAGACTGAACGCCTGTCGCCCTGGCGGTGGCAGTAGCGCACGGCGTCTGCCAGGCGCCTGACAATGGTGGCGGCCTGCTGCTCTGAAATGGCCGGCGCCGTGTTCACGAAGTTGAGCAGGTCGCCCCCACTGCACAGCTCCATCAACAGGTGCACGTGCTGAGGGGGAGGAGGGGAACGGGTGGGACGGGATGAGAGGGATAAGGAGGGGGGGGAGGGGTGTGTGGAGGTGGGAGCATCAGAGCTTGTGAAGATGAGCAGATCCCCCCCGCTGCACAGCTCCATCAACAGGTGCACGTGCTGGGGGGGGGGGGGGGGAGGGGAGGGGGTGAGTGGAGATAAAAAGGGGAGAAGAGTGAGGAGAAGAGGGGGGTCTGGGGGCACAGGCAGGTTTGGGCGCACACGGTGTGTTAGTGATGCTTGCATACAGCAATGCTTGCAGGGCACACGGTGTGTGGGCGGAGCAGAAGGACAGGGGAGTCGAGGGTGTAAGGGAAGTGGGGAATTGGGGAGGAAGGGTTGGACGCAGCAACACTTGCTTGTGGCGGTTCTTGAAGAAAGCAATGGCTCCAGACCAGCGGGCACGGTGTGTGGGCATGGCAGGGGGACGAGGGTGGGTGGGAGGAGGTGGGGAGGTGGGGAGGTCGGGAGGTGGGGAGGAAGGGTTGTGTTGGCCCAGAGGCGCGGGATCGTGTGGGGGTGTGAGCGGGTGAAGGAGGGGGATGGGTTGAGGAGGGAAGGGGAGGCCACCACCCACCCACCGTATCACTCATTGCTCCCCGTCGCATCCTCCACCCACCCACTTACTGTCCCCCCCCCCCCCCCCCCCCCCCCCCCCCCACCCACACCACACCCACCATATCACCCACCGCCCACCATATCACCCACCATCCACCCCGCAGCATCCTCTCCCCCCATCAACTACAGATCACCCGCTACCTACAGAACCAATCTTCGCTCACCGTGTCATCCTCAATAGCATCACGGACCGACACAATCCCCCCGTGCACGCCCAGCTGCTTCATGAGCTCCACCTCCAGCCTCAACGCCTCCGCCTTCTTGTCATCATCCAGTGTCTTCTTGTCTATCGACTTGCACGCCAGCGCACACACCCGAAGGGACTCTAGCTGCCGTACCCCTCAAGCTATCACACGAGGGAGCATAGCCACAGTCCTGCCCAAGGCATCACCTTCAGAACCACCCACAGCACCACCCTCAGTATCACTCACCGTGTCATCCTCAATAGCGTCCCGAACCGACACGATCCCCCCGTGCACGCCCAGCTGCTTCATGAGCTCCACCTCCAGCCTCAACGCCTCCGCCTTCTTGTCATCATCCAGTGTCTTCTTGTCTATCGACTTGCACGCCAGGGCCCTCCCACTCCTCCTCGCCGTGCATGCATACACCACCACACCCGGCCGCCCCTCGCCTATCTTATCCCCCACCTCGTACACCTTCCGCACGTCCGCGTATCCCCGTTTTAAGATGCCCTCTTTCCCGCCAGTGCCCACTGTCCATTCCTCCGGGCTGCCCCCGCCGTCCCCTCCCCCCCGGGGGCTCCGCATTGACCCTGTGCCTGTGAGGCTGTGCGCTATACCGCGTGGGCTCTTATCAAAGCGTTTGGATCCGCTGAAGGAGAACAGCCGCGGGCTGCGCAGGGGGGAGAGGGACGGCCGGGACGCGCTCTTCCGCTCGCCTGCTGCTGCCTCCGCGGGGCTCCCGCTCCTGCCCCCCGCACCCCCTCCGCTCCCCCCTCCTGCCCCCCCTCCTCCCCCCGCTCCTCTCGGCGAAACCCCCACTGCACCCGCGCCAGCAGCAGCGCCCGCAGCCCAGTCGTCTCCGCCACCAGTGGGGCTTTTAAGCCCCGCGCCAGTGGCGAGGTCGAAAGTGCCTGACAGCCGCGGCGAGCGCAGCCCCTTAAGCAACCCCAGGAACGCCCTCCGCCCCGACTTGCTCTGATCCAGAACCGGACCTCCGCCCGCTGCCCTGCCCCTCTCCCCGCCCGCCGCCGCCTCCCCCGCTGCCTGTGCCGCCTCCCCCGCTGCCTGTCCCCCCTCCCGCCCCGCGTCCCCCGACCCCACCACCACTGGCCCGGAAAATGACGCGTTTCCCGCCGCCCCCGCGGAGATTTTCCCCAGTTCGAGCGCGGGGGGGCGGCGGAGGAGGGAGTCCGCAACCGGAGTGTCTTCCGCGTCCCCCGCCGCCTCCCCCGCGACCTTCTTAAGCGACTTGGAGAACCGCAGCTTAGCTCGGTTCGCCGCGCGCCCCGCCGTCCCTCCGCCGCCGCCGCCGCCGCCGCCGCCGCGTCGTCCGCGTCCTCGCTACTGTGTACTCCGCTTCCGTGCATCCCGCCTTGCGGGACCTCCGACGCGAATCGCGCGTGGCGCGGGGAGCGGTTATCCGCGGACGTCCCCCGCCGGAATTGCCCGCTTCCGCCGCCTGCGCTCCCTGCGCCCCCTCCCCCGCTGGTGCCACTACCGCCGCTGCTGCTCGCGTGTAACTGCTGGTGACGGTGGTGCCCCTGCTGCTGCTGTTGCTGTGCGTGGTGGTAGTGGTAGTGATTGCCCCCCACATCATCCCGAGCCACTAGCGATCCCGAGCCTGGTCCTTTCCGCCTCTCGCTCTCCTTCAACCCTAGAATCTGCCGCGCTGCCGCTGCTCCCCCGTGGCCTGCGGCGGCCGCAGCGGCAAGTTGCAGCTGCTGCTGCTGCTCCCGCCGCAGCGCATCCAGCTTGTCCAAACCTAGCCCCAAGCCGTCAGCTTCGGCCATGCTCGCCGAGGTTCGGGATTTACCGGACCTGGACTGAGGTCCGGAACCAAGACCCGACCCTCCGCCGCCGGATGTGCCGCTAACGCGCGGGGAGAGCCCGGCCTGCGGACCTGAATGTGCGGCGGCGTGCGGTCCGGAGTGGTTGAACGTGGTCGCGGCGTGCGAGGAGCGCGGGTTAAATGACGCCGACGCGGACAGGCGCCTCGAGGACGCCTTCTGCGGCGCGTCGACCGACGCTCTTAACGACCCCGTGCTGCTGCTAAATCCGCTGCTGCCGCTTAAATTACTCATGCTTCCGCCCTCCATAGACGTTCTCCTTCCCCCCGTGCCTCCGCCTTCCGCCCTGTGCCGTCTCTCCGCGTTGCTGGTGGTGTGGTGGCGCGACACTGCCCCCAATGCACTAGTGGGGCTCATCGGACTGTTCCCCTTGTGCGCAAACCCCACGTCCTTCGCACCTCCGCCGATGGCGCGTGCACCCTTCTTTCCGCGCATGGCGTCCGACGCAGTGTGCGCGCGCCGCGCGGGGGGAGGCTGTTCCGAGTCCTCCGGGTCCTCAATCCCGTCCTCATCCTCATCGTCGCTGCGCAGAAGCTCCTTCGGCGGATGCTGCGCGTGCGCGGGCTGCGCATGTTGCGAAGCCCCGGACCAGCGCGCCGACACGTGGCGGGGCGGGGAAGACGGGTGCTGCCGCATGTCAAAAACGAACTCCCGGGAAAGAGACACCGCTCCGTACCCTGAAGATCCCGACATTGCGGTAACCGAACCTGCTGCCGAGCCTGCTCCCGAACCTGAAGAAATGGCGGACCCAGGCCTACTGCCGCCACTGCTCCCAGGCCTGGCTCGATCTCGGTAGTAGCTGATTCCTTTACCGGAAAAACTGGAAGAATCCGACGAATCGTCATCGTCAAACCGTACATTGTCATAATCGTCTACATACGAGCCTTTGCTGCTAGCCCGAGTCGACCCCTTCTTCCCGCCGCTATTTCCTCGATAGTTGTTTTCCGTGGCGCGCAACGGGCTGCTCTGAAGATTCGGAATGCCAAGAGCGTTGATTCGCTCCGCAATGTTTTCTACGGGCAGCGGGTCGAAAAAAGGTTGCGATAGAGACCGGTGGTGTTTCTTCTGCGATGGCGGAGGAGCCTGCTCCGCGTGTCCGCGGGAAAGGGGGGAGTTGCGCGGGGAACGACCGGTGTCGTGGTACGGGGGGAAGGCGGGAGAGGGGGAGACGTCGCGGCGATGCGAGTGAGAGAGTTCCGCGCGGTGGAAATCCTCCATGCCATGGAGGTCCGTCCCCGACCGCCGATGGTACGACCGATTAGCCATGAATTAAATGCAAGATTGTGATTGGCGTTAACGAAGATGGACGTATAAATAATCGCTAAGAAGGGCGAGCTTTGAGAGGGAGGAGGCTGGCTGACACCGATGCTGTTCGGGCAACACGGCCTCCCCAGATAGGTGGCAATAATTTAGGGCGTTAATGCACGCGAAAATGACGGGTCGGAGAGGGATGAGGCTGACTGACGCCAGCAAAGTCCAGCCATGGTCCCAAGCTAATAGGAAGCTTATCTACACCAGTGTGGTGAAGCCATGAATGTAGGTTGTGGTGTGGATGATGGATGTTCGTGTGAGCATTTCTGTTCCAAGAGAAGAAGCTGGTTTGTGGAAGAGGTCTCTCGCAGGTTAGACCTAGGATCAACCTCTGCTTTTGTTTTTTAACCCCTCCGGATACAGAGTTGAACACGGATTGGTCTTGAAATCGGACAGGAACGGGTTTCCAGGGCGATTTAGCTTGGACGTTTAGCGAACAGATGAAGGAAACCCACTTGAAATACGCCATGGAACAGTATTTGGTAGGCGAAACAATCGCAGCCACACCACTACCGTGCTTTTGGTGTGGGGAAATTTTCACGATGACGAACATGAGGAATCGGCTGCAGTTTGAGCAAAGACCTTGAAGTTGGCTGGGTGGGTACATCGAGTGGCTGAAAATTACCAGAGAGTATCAAGGAGCAGTCAGGGTCGTCGATTCACCATTATGTCCTTTCATGTTGCCTGCAAGAACGCTGGCGAAACCATATCTTCAAGTGCTCACCAACCAATCCCGCAGGAAAGTCAACCTGGGCAGGGAATGAAATGCTTCGTTTTGCGAACGTTGAGGCTTCTGTCTTACCTTGCGTACATCAACACACTTTCGTTTATATTGGCTGCATAAATTGAAAGCAGTGGCTTCTTAGCGGGTACAAATTCAAATATTCAATTCTGTTGTCGTCTGCAAGAGGCAAATAATCAGATACCCACATACCATTCTTCTGTGACAGAATTCCCATTTCCCATTCCCAGTCTTCAGTCCATTCCCATTCTTCATATCAGTTTCACAAGTTCCAGAGTCTCGCTAGTTTTCGTCGAGTGCATGCAGTGACAGCTTTCGTGCACGAAGCCGCTCCTCAGTGACCTTTCTCTTCCAACCACGAAGCTGATTTAGCATACGTTTTCGCAATGGGAATCAAAGTAAGCAGCGTGATTGCTGTAGATAGTTAGTATCGGGCCTTATTGTTCAGCTGCACTAGCCGTTTGAGACCTTCGTCGCGTCCTATGCATTTATCGCTTGGCAAACATCCATCGTTTTTCATGCATGCACGGTCTGTCATGCAACCATCACTCATCCCCGGTACTAGCTTCTAAATTATCCGCGACACCTTCGTCACAACAACGCCACTTCATATACTCATCATCACAATATACCTACCTGTCGGCCTGTTGGCCCGTCCGTCTGCCACGTGGCGCTCAGGGATTGACGAAGCTGTTAGCGGACAACGCGCCGGGGTGCATGAGGGAGCAGAAGCTGGAGAGCTACTTCGGCCGCAAGATCGCCATCGACGCCAGCATGAGCATCTACCAGTTCCTGGTGACGTCTAGCAGTTCCTGGTAACATGTGTCACTTGTTACTTTCAAGTAACAGCTGTACTGATCAAGCTGCTGGTTTCTCTGTTGCTCCGTTTCTCTGCTTCTTGTCCTGAGGTCAACATTTGCCTCATCTCTTTGCTCCCTGCCGTCAGATCGTGGTGGGAAGACAAGGGACAGAAACACTTACCAACGAGGCTGGCGAAGTCACTAGGTGAGGTGGTTACCATACCATACATAGCGTTAACAGGCCCGACTTCGTGGATTTGCAGTTATAACCTGGATTATCTCTGGTGTCTTTTTGTTCCTTTCTATGATGACATCGGCCAATTTCAACCTTCCCCTCCCCTCCCCTCCTTTACCCTCCCTCCCCTGCCCTCCCCTCCCCTGCCCTCCCCTCCCCTCCCTTCCCCTCGTCGCCTTTCTTCCTTCCCCTCCATGCCTGTCCCGCCAGTCACCTGCAGGGGATGTTCACGCGGACCATTCGCATCCTAGAGGCGGGGCTCAAACCAGTGTACGCTGCACCGCCTCGCTCCTGTCACCAGAAGCATTCCCCATCTGTGCTGAGGCCCCTTAGAGCATCCGTTTTGGACTTTATTGTTCCTTACCAAGCATTCACTACAGCCTGCATGCCCCTTTTTCTGGTTCCTCCCTTTCCTCCATTTTACCGTTTCTTTCCCGTTCCTCCCCCTACTTTCCTCTTCTCCCCTTGTCTTCCCGTCTCTTCCCTTTCCTCACAACTCCATCTCTCCCTTCCCCGCCTTTCCCCTCCTCAGCTATGTGTTTGATGGCAAACCTCCGGACCTCAAAAGGGAAGAACTTAAGAAGCGGTGAGCTCTGCCTTTCCGCCTTGCTCCGTTTGCGTCCATACTCCTGTTGTCACGATTGGACTAATGCTGCTGTTCATCTCAGCGTCTTTGCTTCACCAGCCTGTCTCATTTAACCTCCCAACCTCGTTGTTTTTGCTCCCAAACCCTCTAATCCACCTCCCAACCTCCCTACCGCAGGTACTCTCGAAGGGAGGGAGCAACGGAGGGGTTAGAGGAGGCGAAGGAGGAGGGGAAGGCGGAGGACATAGAGAAGTACAGCAAGCGCACCGTGCGGGTCACACGGCAGCACAACGAGGACTGCCGCCGCCTGCTTCGCCTCATGGGGGTGCCGGTGGTTGAGGCGCCATCTGAAGCAGAGGCTGAGTGTGCGAACCTGGCGAAGCAGGGCAAGGTAAGGAGGGCTAGAGGGCAGGAGGAAAGGCTGTGGGCAGCAGGAAGGGATAGTGGGGCGGCAGGCAGGCTCCCCACTCCATCCCCCCCCATGAGCAGGTGTTCGGAGTGGCATCAGAGGACGTGGACGCTCTCACCTTCGAAATGGCTTTAAGGGGACATAGAGATTTTCCCTCTCCCCCCCCCCTTTTCCCCTCCCCCTTCTCCCGCTCTCTTCCTTCCCCTCGACGAGACCAGGTGTTTGGAGTGGCATCGGAGGACATGGACGCTCTCACCTTCGAGTTGACTATGAGGCGACTCAAAGGTTTCCCCCTTTTCCCTCTTTGTCACCCACACACCCCCAACCCCCCCAACAAGCGAGCAGGTGTTCGGAGTGGCATCAGAGGACATGGATGCTCTCACCTTCGGAGCTCCCAAGTTCCTGAGGCACCTCATGGAGCCAGCTGCCAGGAAACTTCCCGTCATGGAGTTTGACGTTGCCAAGGTGCGTCCAGCACTGACTGACTCAAAAGTCATTGACTGACTGACTGACCTACTTGATTCACCGCACTAATTCACCGCGCCCTTTCATTCGTTTCTTTCCAGACTCGCTTAAGTATTCCCCTCACAACCCCTGTCTTCCTGCCATTTCGCTGCACCGGGTACTGGAGAAACTTAGTCTCTCCATAGACGAGTTTATCGACCTCTTCATCCTGTGCAGCTGTGGCTACAGTGCCACTGTTGCCACTGTCCCAACCGTTCTGGCTCACGCTCCTGTCTTCCCACGTTTTCCCTTCCCAGGTACTGGAGCTTCTGAATCTCTCAATGGACGAGTTCATCGACCTCTGCATCCTATGCGGCTGTGACTACTGTTGCCAATTCCGAGGGGCATCGGCCCCACTCTTCTCCCACTGCTTCTCCCCACACCCCTCAAAACCCCTCCCTCCTCTGCACCAGGTACTGGAGGGACTGAATCTTACAATGGACGAGTTCATCGACCTCTGCATTCTGTGCGGCTGTGACTACTGCGAGTCCATCAGGGGCGTGGGTCCCACCACGGCTCTCAAGCTTATTAGACAGCACAAGAACATTGAGACCATTCTCGAGAAGACTGGAGACAAGTGCGTGAGTGTTTGGAGATTGGCGATTGAGTGCTGAAGACATGTGCAGGGTGAGTTCGCGAGTGGGGGTGAGAGGGAGTGTTCGGCAGAGTGTGGATGTGCCCTTTCGTCTCTGAAGCTCCTGGGAAGCACATGGCGTTTCAAGTGTTCAGCACCATCATCTCATTCCCCAGATGCACCAGCCTTTCCCATTTCTCCCTCCCCATGTGGTTCTCTTTCTAGGGAGCAGGTGCCAGACCCCTGGCTGCACAGTTTGTATGTCAATTAATAAATAAATATATATATATATATATGTATTTTAAAAAAAAAATCCTCCCGCCCCCTTTTCTCCTCCAGGTATCAGGTGCCAGACCCGTGGCCATATGCCGAAGCCAGGAAGCTTTTCAAGGAGCCGCTAGTCACACCTTCTGAGGAAGTCCCTGAAATCAAATGGACGCCACCGGATGAAGAGGTACGATGCGCTTTGACGGCTGAGGTCACAGCTTATCTGAACGATATCATTGGCGCTGAGGTTGGAGCTTGTTGTGCCGAATGTATGACTTCTTGACGGCTGATTCGTGCAAACGCATTGCTCGCCCCACTTTCTGTGCCTGGCGGGCGGCCCCTCATGTGGCTCATGGTGGGCATGTGCATGTGTGTGTGCCTGCAGGGGCTGGTGAAATTCCTGGTGGAGGAGAACGGGTTCAACTTGGAGAGAGTCACCAAGGTACACTCACCTGTAATGAGTGAGGAGGGCACCACATGCCTCTGATGTGCTGAGGGGAGGTGCATGAGTGTTGGCCTTTGCCTCTGATGCCTGTTGGCACGAAAGTTTGGCATTTGCTTTTTATCTGCCTGTTCTGTAATGAGCTATGCGGTGCAGTGATGAGCCGTAGTACGGCTGCTGTACTGTTGTGAATCATGTTCCACAGCGCACATATGACCACATAGGCTTTAATGTGTTCAGTCATGACCGTTGGCAGGCCATAGAGAAGATCAAAGCTGCCAAGAACAAGGCATCCCAAGGAAGGTGCGTCTCAAACGCCTCTCACCTTCCCTGCTTCTTGTCTCTCCGTTTTTCTCCTTTCATTGAACTTCGCTTTCCTGCTTCTCTCATCACCTCACTGCATGCATCCCCCAGTAGTTTGCGCTCCTGTGCCTCTCTGCTTGCTCTGTGCAATTCAGTGGCTGACATTGTCAATGCATGCACCTATCCTTCGCACAAATTCGAGGGTCCACCTTTCTGTCCCCCAACATCCTCGGAAGCATCCCACACTTACCCAACCCACTACTTGCGTAACATCTTTCACACCTCTCATGTGTGCGTACTCAATTATGAGCAGATTAGAGTCATTCTTCAAGCCGTCTGCAACACCTGCTTCCACAACTCCCAAGCGAAAGGCATGTTCCTGCTTCCTTTGGTCGCTTCCTTTCTTGCAACCTGCTCCCTGTGCACCTTCCTGTGACCTATCCACTTTTTTTCTCATGTCTCTCTGCTGCTCAACCTGTGCTATGGATTGTGCAGGAGCCTCCTCCAGTCAAGGGTGGTAAAGCTGCCGGTAAGGCAGCACCTGCCAAGAAAGGGAAGAGAAAATGAAGTTCCGTAGTGTGTTGTTCCTTCATGATTTGTGATGAGTCAAGCTGGGAATTTAGATGCAGTATAATAAAAGCATTTCCCAATACCGGTAAGATTGCAGATTTTATCCTACATTCCAGAAAGGCGAATTGCATTGCAAGGTTGCAGTGCCCACCAACTCCGGCTTGTGATCACCACGTTTGATGCGTTGTGCACATACACTGAACAAATGTGGCAATTTTCCACAGCATTTTCATTCATTCTCAAGGTTCAGCATCAGTGCCAGACATCAGCCAGCAAATCTGGCGCACAAAAACCAGATATGAGGCAAGCAACAAACCATGACCTGGCACTGGCTCCTGCCACTCCCGGGGCCTTGACTGGCAGCATTCCACTGGGAACACTGCAACATGCATGCCACCAGCACTGAGTGGAGCTGACATTTACATGGTGCCAGAATGAACGGCACATCCAGAGAAGCACCACCACCACGCTGGGGCAGACATTGGCATGAAACGCGGCCCAGAACTCAGCTGCAAGGAGCTTCATCGCATTCCTGCTTTCATCCATCTTCACTATACTTCCACAATCTCCTCTGCTCCTGAGTCTTGCTCACCACCAAAGTGGCACGTGGATACACTTGAACCTGCACATAACAGACCACTGCTGATCCAACATTCCATCACCAAAGCCGTGCAGAACCACCACATGAATCACTCGTCGTAAAACATTTTCAAAGTTCTATCTCCAGGCCTTCTCTTCCACGAACAGGCCCTCCTTTGCCACAATCCACAGGCCTTTCTCTCCCATAACTGCGTCTCTCCTCTTCCCTATCTCCACAAGCCTCTCCTGTCCTCCACACATCCACCACACCACTCGTATTCCTTCATCAAATTTAGATCCAGCTCCAGCACAATCTCCTCCTCTCCCAAACATCCTCCCCCCAAACTTCCACACCTTGCAACCGCTCTCGCAGTTCCTTGTATCCTAAACTGCTTCCACAGCATCCCATACTTCGTGGCCGAAGCTTACCAGCAGCTGCCATCAGCTCCCCAGCCTAAATCCCGCAATTATTGACAGCAGCTGCTGAATCTTCCTTCAAAATGATGCCATTAACGCCCATGAAACACTCTCCCAAACAAAAGATCATGCATTTCACGAAGAACCCCTTCGGACCCTTCAAATCTCCACACCCATCAGCACCCAGTCAGCTCCCAACAAGATTCCCAACACGGCGGATTCAGAGCTGTTAATCAGCGATCTACACCCGAGTCGGTGTCCTGCTGCAAGCCTGCTGCTGCTGTTACTACTGCTCATGCTGCCATTGCTGTTGATGCTGCCTCAGCTGTTGCTGCTATCGCTCTTGCTGCTGCTGCGACGCTCTGAACACCTCGCCCTTAACGTCTCACCCTTACACCGCCGCCTAACAATGTCCGCCAAGAAATATGAACTCATCAATGGTTCCCCTCCTCCAGCTTCACTAGCCTCGTCCCTTGGGCCTTTCCGACAGACACTACCAATATTGCTTGAATGACGCGAAATCGCTACTGGCCGTTGCAGCTAAACACTCGCGGTCAAGACTAAATGTCAGTAGAAAGAAAAGAAAGTAAAAAAAAGGACTCAGGATGCCCTTCTGAACTCGCACACGCCAGGCCCCGTCCATACAGCAGCTGCCTTTTCCTCCCCTTAATCTCCAACGAAAAGAAATGCTGCTTCGGACCCCCTTCCATATATAATCAATCATGAAGCCGCACGCTTCAGCCGTCTCTTCCACGAGTCCAAGACACCCTCGACGCCTGACGACCTACTGTATTCACATTCGACACGATCCAACAGTACAGCCTCCTCTTGTAACCCACGGCTACTTTAAACACCCCCGTACCCCAGTCAATCGTAGAAATCCATCCGAACAGCTCCAGCCGCGTCCCCCCCCTCCCCCCTATTCCTCCATGGTCCCCTAAGAGCAGTAGATCGCCCTATCGATCTGTGGAGGAATGGGCTTTATTTCCGTTCCAAGCTCTTGCTCGATCCGGTAGCTGCAAGACACATTTAATATGTAATGAGATTACAGAGGCAAGACAGGTAAATAGCATAAAGAATGTCGTGTAAGTCGGCAAACAGGGACTTACAGATTGAAGCGGTCATTGTATGTGATAAGATTGATCGCCAAGCCAAGATGACCGAATCTTCCAGATCGTCCGACCTGCACAACCGGGAAACGAACAAGCTTAAACAGCATATTCGACGGAGAAACGGAAGTAGAATGAAGATGCGACAACACGAACCCTGTGAAGATAGGTCTCAGACGTCTTCGGGAAGTCGAAATTGATGACGACATTCACTGCCTGGATGTCAATTCCTCGCGTGAAAAGATCTGACATTGAAAACGGCACATACTAGTTAGTTGACGAGTCTAAAGAGCTCGCAAAGTACGAACGAGGCGAAAAATGACAAAGCACAGCTCACCCGACGAGACCAAGTTCCTGCAGGCCCCATTGCGGAAATCATGAAAGACGCGATTGCGATGGGACTGCAGCATTTTTGCGTGGATGTAGAAGCACGAGTAGCCAAGCTCCGTGATCTTCTTGGCCAAGAGCTCCACGCGGTTGACCGAATTGCAGAAGATGATCGACTGATTGATTTGCAGCTGCAACACGTAGAAAAAACAAAACAGAACAAAAAACACACACACACACACACACACACACACATTGGCGAAACACTTAGATCAGCCAGAGTAATTCATTGTCTCAACATTGGCAGTTCGAATTGCACTGAAGGAACGCACCTTAGAGAACAAGGTGTTGAGGCAATGGACCTTTTGCCGCTCCTCCACGAAGGCATAGTATTGAGTGATACCCTTGAGGGTCAACTCGTCCATGAGGTTAATGACATAAGGCTTGTTAAGCCATCTGTCTTTAAACGCTTTCACAGTCACAGGGAACGTGGCTGAATACAAGAGGATCTGTCGCGTTGGAGCGAGATAGCCAATAAGGCGCTCCACAAGAGGCTGAAACTCTGGAGAGAGAAGCTTGTCGGCCTGTCATGACACAAGATTGCACAGATCATGAGCCACAATCGCCAAGAAGGAAAAAAAATCTGGGTATGATCAGATCTCCAGTAGCAAAACACACCTCATCCATGCACAGCATGTTGCATTCTCTAAGGTTGCACACGCCCTTGTTCGCCAAATCTAGTACCCGGCCGGGCGTAGCGACGAGGAGATGCACTGGTTGATAGAGACGCATGATGTCGTCCTTGAGACTCGTGCCACCCGTCGTCGCCATGATCTGAATGTTCATGTGCTTCGCAAGCTCTTTGCAAACTTGCGAAGTCTGCAGCGCAAGCTCTCTTGTAGGGACCAGGATAAGAACTGCAAGGAAGAAGAAGAAAAAAAGATTTAGCCTAAACAAAATTCGGCAAAAAAAAAACTGCTCACAAGATAACGACAACTTGCCTTGAATGACGTTCCTCGAGGGATCGATCTTCTCTAGAGCCGGAATACTGAAGGCAGCAGTCTTGCCAGTTCCATTCTTGGCACGAGCAAGGATGTCTCTTCCCGTCAAAGCAATCGGTATACTCTCCTCCTGAATAGGGGATGGCCTCTCAAACCCTCTCTCGTAGATCCCCATCAGAAGCTCCCTCTTCAAGAAGTAGTCCTCGAACTCATTCCCTTTCGTCGCCGTGACATCCTGTAACGCAGCATGTGGGAAACACGTCAATTTGAATACTCAAATTTTGCAGAACAAAATAGATCCATGTCTTCAAAAGCTGAAGATATACCTCAGTTTTGAACCTTGTATCAGATGGAGGTAGCTTTAGCTGTGACTTCCAATCTTGATCACTGCAATATTGAAATAAAAACATGGCGTCAAAAATACGCTTGAAATAAGCCAAGTTTAAGACAGAAAAAGTCGGACCCGTAAGGACATGCCTGGATTGGCTGGTTTGGCTTGGTTGGCTAGGCTGGCTTGCTTGATTCGGAGCGCCAAAGCCTTGAACTTGCGGCGGAGGAAGCAGTGGTTGACCAGGCGCCTGCACTTGGCCTAACTGAGATGGCTGCACGAGAGCACCTGGTTGGATCCGAGTCTGGTTTCCGTATGCTGAAGGAGCAGCTATCCGTTGATTCGTTTGACCCGAATGTGGACCCACAGCCGCCATCTCGTGCTAGCGATGTAGGAAGACCCGATTTCTACTTTTACTTCCTCAGTGATGCACTCAACTATGACCCACCGTGCCCACTCCCAGCAAGCACCGAAGTCAGATCTGTTGTGAATCAAATATGCGGGAGGTGGACAATCGACTACGCCGAAACAAGCGCGACAGGTTCTTCCTCCCTAAGATAACCGCGGTAAGTACCTTTACGTCTATGTAAGTCGCGCGAAACTACCTCACGATGTCACAAGAAAACCTAGGAGCTAGATGCGGATTACAGGCCTAATGGCAGAAACTAAGTGCCCTGGAGAACAAATCCTTCCGAAGTTCCAACTTCCAGTTCCAATCCCCAAGACACACAGGTGCTGTTCGCCAGCAAATCGTATTTTGAAATGAAAATGATGGCATCGGCATCGCGACCGCATATGGAAACGGAGGTGGAACCCACCTCCGAGGTTTGGCCGTAATGCCGTTCAGAAAACTTCTGCGCCTGCGGTTAAGAAATTTCTCAACCGCGTCGGGAACCTCCATCCCCACCTTCCCTTCGATCCCTTTTGAACGGCAATGCGACGGCTGTGCCATCGCTGTGCTTTGAAAAACGCAGCATGGCGATGGCATGGCTAGGGGATGGTGTTTTGCCTGGGGACGAAGTTTCGTCCCCGCTTCCATATGCCGTCGAAGCGTTAGATTTGGTGGACAAAAGTGGGCGTTCGCCAGACGCCCACTTTGTTTGTTGGTTTGGACGGTAGGTGAGGCTCGGCACTTTTTTCACGGGCTGACCAGGCTGACGGAGGTTAACGAACTCTAACTGACGGGATCAGGAAGGCGAGACCCACCTTCCTGATCCCGTCGTTATCCCGTCGTTTTTTGCTATAATGGTGCTGGCGAACAGCCCCGCAGAACGCAACCCTCGCTGGTTTTCCTGTTTGAGCCCTGAGGGTCTGGCGGAAGGGGGTTGGGTTGGGTTCGGTTCGGATAGTTACGATGATGGTGATGCCCTCTGCACCTTGCGTCGCATGCACCCCATCTGACAGTATGGATAAGTGCCACTTGTTACTATAACGAGTGCCGGGTCACTCGTCACCTCAGGCTACGCTGACATAGAAATGTAATTCTTACGCCACCAAATACAATCTATATGTGCAATGTGTGCACCAAGAGTTTTCCAGTTCTGGTTACCAAATACAATTTATGCCATGTGAAACCTATCAGAACAGCACCATCAGCCACCTTGGTAATAATCAATGTGGATACATGCCACATAGTTTTCATGCAAACAGCAATTAGCCAAGGAACTCCCGAGGATCAGTGATGTGACCAGTGAGGGCTGACGCCGCGGCAGTGTACGGCGATGCCAGGTATATCTGAGCCTCCTTGTGACCCATGCGGCCCGGGAAGTTGCGGTTGGTAGTGGAGACACACACCTGGCAAAGCCAAAGCAACATAAAAGAAAACAGCAACTCAAATGTCCGCTCAAAACTCTATAATAGAACCCCGACAACACAGGACATATCTAAGCAACTCCATGCAGCATTTATTCACACCTGAGGCTCGTTCATGCGGGCATAGGTATCTCTGGGCCCGCCCAGGCATGCAGCACAGGAGGGGGCAGCAGGCGTGTCGCAGCCTGCCTCCTCAAAGATCTGCGCCATGGTCTTGCCGTCCGCCCCCGGCACCGGCAGCGTGTAGATGTCCATCCACACCTGTGGGCCACGTGGGGCGAGCAAAACATCAAGGGGCAATGTGCACATGGCAAGGGGAACGGTGGGCAAGAGGCGCGAGGATTGGCTGTTTCGTAATGGGTGGTGGGAATAATGGAGAGAACTACGGTGGGAAGTAGAAGCAAAAACATAAGAGAACAACGGCAGATGCAGGAAATTGCTTGCCATGCTAGGCCCTTGGAATATAATCTCGGTACGCAAGCAGTGGTAGTGAAACCCACCTTCTGAGTAGCAGGCACCAGGAAGGTCGGCACGACCACCTTCTTGCCCTGCAACAATGGTACACACACATACACATAGAAACAACACATGAATTCAGTCGGACCACCAAGAAGCCAACACCTTATTCTGCCAAGTACCGCTACGGTGGGTCCAGTTTCACATGCTTGCTTGCCGAGCTACAACAAACCCGAAGCTTTCCTGCGATGGCATATGGAACAGCAACAAGCGGGTGCACTGACCGCAGCGTGGAAGAGCTTGGCAGCAGCCATGAAGTCCTCGGTCTTGCCGCCCGTGCACGAGCCGATGTACGAGCGGTCCACCTTCTTGTCGCGACACTCCAACGCCGTTGCACGGTTGTCAGGCGAGTGCGGCTGCAAGGGGCAGGGTAGGGTTGTGGGGAGGATGGGGGATCGTGAATTGAGCCAATAGCCGATGTACGAGCGGTCCACCTTCTTGTCCCAGCACTCCAGCGCCATTGCACGGTTGTCCAGTGAGTGCGGCTGCGGGGTGGGAAGGTGGAAGGTTGAGGTGGAGGTTGGGGGACTGAGGGACAATCACGAGTCAAGTCACGAGCCAATGTAGAAGCCGTCCACCTTCTTGTTCCAGCACTCCAGCATGGTGGCTTGGTTGTCCGGTGAATGCGGCTGAGAGGGGATGCGGGAGGAGCGGAGGTTGGTTAGGGAAGATGCCGTGTAGAGGCGAGCCAAAGACAATGTAGAAACAATCAGCCTTGTTCTAGAGAAGCAACTCGCCATAGTGACAACAAAGTAACTCACCTTAGCAACCACGGGGTCGAGCTTTGAGACGTCGAACCGATACTCCTCATAGAAGCTGGAATGATAAAGGGTGGAGGGGGACACAGCGAGGAGCAGAAGTCAGGGTACACGAAAGGCAACAACCAGAAGAGGAAAGGGTAAAGCCTTGCAGGTGCATACCAAAAGAAAGAGAGTGGGCGACGAAGAGTGGGGAATGTGTAAATAGACAGAGGCGGGAAACTCACCTGGCGTTGCCATCGCTGTAGACGGGCTCGTGAGTCAACTGGGTCTTGCCCTGCAGACAGCACACACAGGCACATACCCAGACACACACAGCAGAGCAGCGCACACCACAGGGCATGTGAGATGCTTGCCAGAGGATACAGCCATGGCATAAGAACAGTGCTGAGCAGAGAAGAGAGAGGCTGAGGCGAGCAGAGCAGAGGATGCGAGAGCGGATGTGGGCAGGAGGAGGAGGAGAGTAGGGAAGGGGCGTACATCAAGATAGGCGAAGGTGGTCTTGTCTGCCGCCACCACTCCGTTCTTGCCTCCGCCCTCAATGACCATGTTGCACAGCGTCATGCGATCCTCCATCTGCGGGGGGCACATGTGTGGAATGAGAGGGTGGAGGGCGAGTGGGGAAAGAGCGGGAAGGGATGGAGGGGAGGGGGAGCGTCAGCACACCGTTCTTGCCTCCGCCCTCAATGACCATGTTGCACAGCGTCATGCGATCCTCCATCTGAATGGGAAGCAGGAGAGGCAGGCAGGAGGAAAGGGATAAGCGAAACCAGGGTAGAAGGGGGAGACTGTGAGTGTGAGGGTGGAAGGGATTGACCGCAGAAATTGTCGAGCCGGAAAGAAAGGTTGGATCGCAGAGAAAGCAGACGTGGGAGAACGGAAACTGGTAAAAAAGAGAATAGGCGAAATTGTGCGGACGGAAGTGAGCGGATGAGACGAGGAGATGAGCGGGGCGGGAGGCACTCACAGTCATGGCCTCGACAGCAGTGCCTGTGAACTCCATGGCCCGGTACGTGCCCCCTGCCACTCCTATCTCACCAATGATCTGATGCATGGCATTGGCAGGTGGGCAGGGAGAGAGAGGGAGGGAGAGGGAGAGAGGGGATGGAGAAAAGGGGAGAGGGATGGAGAGATGGGGGAGAGGGAGGGGGGGAAGAAGGAGAAGGGGGGGAGAGAGCGGGAAGAGGAAGAAGGGTTGAAAAGGGATATTGCAACTTGACAACAAGTGTCACGAGGCGAGTGCAGTTCAGCAAGGAGTGCAAGGTGGCGGCTAGGCTGCCTCTACTGGCATGTCACAACCCCGACGTACAGGGCATGTGAAAGGGAGGGCGAAAAGTGTTGGCTGACTGGAAAGGGAGGCGAAAGGAACACAGAGGGCAGAGCACACTGGGAAGGGAGAAATGGAACGCAACCAACCAAAAGACGATGACAAGGGGGAAGAAAGTAGTGCGGAGGGGAGGCGAGAGGGAAGAAGATGAAGCGGGAGAATAGACGCGGGCAGTTCACCTGCAGGATGAGGTCCTTGGAGAGCAGGTACGGCGGCATCTCCCCGTCCAACACAAACCGCAGGGTGGCGGGCACCTGGTGGGGGAGGGAGAGCCAAGGCGGAGTGGAGCAGAGAGACGAGCGGAAACGAGTAGGAAAAGGGTGGATGATGAGAGGCAGGCATATGAATGAATGGAGGACCAAGGGAGGGGCAGGATGAGCAGGCATGAAAGGCGACGCACATTCAGGCCCCATGCACCTTGAGCAGGCACTTGCCGGTGCCGAGGATGAAGCCCGCGTCCGTGTTGCCAATGCCCGTGGCGAACTGCCCAAACGCCCCCGCGTTGCACGTGTGCGAGTCCGTGCCAAACAGCACCTGCTCGTTGGGTGGACCGGAGGGCGAAATGTGGAGGGGGGGAACAGCGCGAAGGGAGCAGGCGGGGGGACGGGGGAGCGGGAGAGAGGGGGGGGAACGCAAGAGCAGTGGGACAACATGATTGGGAACAACAGCGGGAACATTGATGTGATGGGAAAGACACATATGGAGGGTAACAAGGGCATTGCTGCCTTTCGAAATTTGTAAGAGAACGTGATGTGTTCTGCATTAACGTTCCTTCCCTTCCCACACCATTGACCCTTACCCCTTCCCACACACCCTCCCCCTCCCACCTCCCCTCCCCCGCTCCTCCTCTCCCCCATTGCTCCTCCCCCCCTCTCTTCCTTCTCCCCCCATGTGCGCACCTCGCCTGGTCGGCAGTGCCCCTCCTGCGCGAGCGCCACGTGGCACACGCCCTTGTAGTCGGGGTTGGCCTGCACGCAGCGAGGGCGATAGGCACAGGGACGAGGGATGCTGAATAAGGCGACAGGAGTTCAATGGCAGTTGTCTTTAGTGGCAGTCCAAGTACAACGATAAACAGGAGTGAGAACGTACGGAGGAGGTGATAGAGAATGTACAGCCAGGCATCAACCGTTAAAAGTTGGAGCGGTACGTGATGCCCTGCTCCGCATGACCGCTAGGCTGTCCGCTCAAGTCCCCACAGCTGCTCTACCTTTAGCCTGGCCACCACGCACATGGACAAACGCACCTGGAAGTTGGAGCGGTCGGTGATGTCATAGAAGTACTTGATGCCTTGCTCCTGCACGAAGTCCCTGAGGATGTCCACGTTGCGGTTCGCGCGCTCGTCCGCCGTGAAGATGTAATGGTCGGGAATGATCACGATCTTCTCGCGGTCCCACACCTGGGGGGAGGGGAAGATGAGGGGAGGAGGAGCAGCGGAAAGGCGGGAGGGGGAAGGGCGGTTGAGAAGAGGGGCGCTTGAGCTTCCGGCTGTGATTCGCGCGTTCGTGCGCTTGAAACAAGGAGAAAACTATCAGCAGAAAGGGGTGGAGAAGGGACAGGGAAAGAGGGAGGAGGGGAAGAGCGGAGGAAAGACGGGGGTGGGGGGGGGAAGGGGTTGTGGCGGAGGGGTGGGGCGGAAGGGAGAAAGATGGGGAAGAGAGGACGGAGGACAACGACGAGAAGGAAACGGCCGTGTGGCCACAGCCTCACCTTGGCGTCGGCGCCGAACTCCTTCTTGAAGATGCCGATGGTGCCGGGGCCGCACACGTCGTGCGTCATGAGCACGTCCGTGTTCACCCACACGTTCTCGCCCGGCGCCACGCGCGCCCTCTCCGCCGCGCGCGCCAGGATCTTCTCCGTCATCGTCATGGGCGACTTCACCTGCCGGCGGAGAGAGGGGGGCAGAGGGGGGAGGGGCCACGGGGGCAAGCGAGGAAGCGGAGACGCAAACAAGTGAGGCACGTTAATTTGCGAGAGGGGGGTGAAGGCTTCTGGAGTGCGCGCCAGTATCGTCTCCCAAAGAAATCAAGGAGAGAGGAAGGCAGTAGGGGCTGCGGCGTTGAACGGACGCTCGCGCTAAACAACACTTCGCCGTGCATTCGTAGCCTCCCTCGGGGAACGTGAGGAACTACGGACGCATCAACATGCTATGATCAGTGCGACTGGCTTGGGAAAAGACGGAACAATAACCAGGACGTCGGTGGTGAGTCCGATACGCAGAGACTCGATCCCGGATGGAGAATAACGGTCAGGAAGGGTGCTCGGAGGTCAGCAGTTGGAGTTTGCCTTACCGCGCCGGTAGAAGCGGGAGTGTTCTGCTTGCTGGGAGCAGGAGGCACTGCGACAGCACGGATCGCAACGGGCATTCGGCTGGCAACGGCTGGTGACGCCGCGGGAAGGAGTCGCGACGACGACACGCCTCCTGCGAAAGTCGTGGAGGAGGAACCATAGTGCACCGCCGCGCCCTGACAGAAAGGACGGAACGAGATGAAGCACAAAGGCCGTGAGAACCATGGCGAAGCGGAAATGCTAACAAATTCGACATGCGCTGTGCGAAGATAAAGGTGCAAACTTTAACGTCACCAAAATAAAAATCAAGGGAAGATACCGTCGTCAATTCCAGTACACGGCTGAGATCAGGACCGATAAGCATTGGTCGGTAAAAGAAAAACGATATATAAAAGGCCAAGACACTACACGGAGCTCTTGAATGGGAAAATAGGCCACAGAAAACAGGTGCTGTCTTACGGGTGCACGGAGGGCTGTCGCGGGCACTAAAGCAGCCATGATGACCAGTCCACGCTAGCGATATACGACAATCGCGAACCACAGGGAGTCTGCACTTCAGAAAGTGAAATATAAGCAGACGAGGCTGCCGGCGAGGTAAGTTGGACTAAGAATGCAGCTGCCTTGTCTTTTTAGTCTACACCACAGCCTAAGTTTCAGGAAAAGTTCCTTGAGAGGCGGAATCCGAAAGGCAAGGCAAAAATGAGACAAGTGGAGGTTAGAGGGACTGATATTCAGTAGTGATATTTCAAACAAAGCACGGTGGGATGCGTTTAGCATGTTCTATAGACGGCGAAATTCGGTTGAGGGAGAACCTGATGAAACCTGAACACGCTGGAGCTGCTGCGACTGTCCAATCCGAGCCATGCCACTCTTGGAAAAGCTCGTGCCAACAGATCTCGAGGGCCTTGGGGTGTCGCAAACACGCGCAACCTTGCGAAAATGAGACAGGTGCGCTCCACCCCTCGTCAACAATGTGGCTCTTTCGCGAGCCTGGGTTTTGCGACTTTCCGTGACGGGGTTTCTGCGGAGAGTTGAGAGAGGTGGCGGGCTTCTATTCGTGGAAATTTTGAGCAGTATGGTTGGAGGAAGTGGATCTGGCTGCGAAAGTTGCGAGGGGGGAGATGGACTCCAGAGTCCCGGGATATTTTGTGCAGGTTGCGACTTTACCAGGTCCTGCCCAATGCTGCAGCTTCGCGACATTTTTTGGCTGTCGTGAACCAGCAAAGCATTTACACTTCGCTAGAATTTAGCACCAAGGGACAAGCTAACACAGACAAAAGAAAACAAACGAGTCCACAACTTAGTCGTACAGATTTGTTTAGACCGACAGATGGCATAGGACAACAACTATGGCGAAGAAACTGTCAGGCATTTTGAAGAAAGCCGGTTCGAAGGGGAAAACGGCGAAGAGAATAGGCGAACCGAGTGTAGCGGAAAGACTCCCTAGTCAGGAAAAAGAGGATGTAGAAGATGAAGAAGAGTCGTCAGACACTGAGAAAGAAATAATTTCCGACGACGAGAGCGAAAGCGGAGAGAAGGAGATTGAGGAGGAAGGGGAAGAGAAGGGAGATACAGGGGAAGAAGAAGGGGAGCTGGGAGAGGGTGAGGAGGATGGAGACGACAGTGACGAGGAGGAAGCAGACGAGAGAGAAGAAAACGAGGGCTTTAGTATACTAGGTCCAGAAAAGCGGTCTAAGAGTGTGCCTGCTGTTCCAGCTCCCGGGATGCACCCTAGTTCAGCGTCCGCGTTGAACCCGGTCAGAAGCTTCGACGAGATGGGGCTGGATCCGCGTCTACTGCGCGGGCTGGTGAAGCGGCGTCTGCTGAAGCCCACTCCCGTGCAACAGTACTGCGTGCCGCTCGCCATGGTGGGTGCCTCTGCCCGTTAACCTTTGTAGTACCTCGCAAAGACCCTGAACCCTCCCAAAACCCGTTGTCCTCCTCCCTCCTCACCATCACGAACGACATACCTCCATTTATCTCTCACTCTCAACTCCCCTTTTCCAAGCCTCTCCTTCCATCTCCTCCCTCCGTCGCCTCCCTCTCTGGATCTCCTCGTCTCGAATCCGCGCCATGGCCGCAGGAGGGGCGCGACGTGGTGGCGATGGCGCACACGGGGTCGGGCAAGACTCTCGCGTACCTGCTGCCGCTGCTGCACCGCGTGCTCGCCGACAAGGACTCCGCGCCCGCCGCCCCTGGCGCGGGGGGGACCTGCCCGCGCGCAGTGGTGCTGGTGCCCACGCGCGAGCTCTGCCAGCAGGTGCGCGGGGAGGGACGCACAGGGAGACGGAGAGCAAGAGATTGTTGGGAAGGGATGAGGAGGGGGGGAGAGGGAGATGCAGAATCGGGCTCGAGAGGATGCGTGAGCCTGAAAACGGGTCTGCTCTTACCGAGTCACCCACTGCTCTGTTCCCGCATGATACAGGTGGCGGACGAGGTGACAGCCATGGCGCAATACTGTGGGGGCGCGATCACAGTGCAGCGCCTCACCACCGGCATGAACAACAGCGCCATGGTGAGTCGCTAGGTCTTTCCACCTGTGACCCAAGGTTCGGGTTTTGGGTTTTGGGTTGGTATGTGTAAACCACTTGGTCGAGTTCCCAGTCCTTGACTAGTTGGCTAGCACACTGTTCCATCATCACCCATGCCGTTCCCGTTACTCTCCGTTTGTGTTACCCCTCCCTGCAGCGAGCGGCGATGGAGAGGCGGCCAGACGTGGTGGTGGCGACGCCGGCGCGCATGGCGGCATGTGTGGCGGACTGCAATGGCATGTGTGGTCCCCTCTTGAGTCATCCTCCAAGCCTACCCCTCCGTTTCCCCTCAACACCCCACCACCCCTGCAGCGAGCGGCCATGGAGAGGCGGCCAGACGTGGTGGTGGCAACGCCAGCGCGCATGGCGGCGTGTGTGGCGGAGGGGGTGCTGTCGCCCTCAGCGCTCAAGACACACCTGGCTGTCATGGTGCTGGACGAGGTGAGGGGTGGGGGATGCATGAGCTGAGCTGAGTGCTGCATGAGGGGGACACGAGGTTGGGACAGTATGCTGTGCTGCCATGCCATGTGTGTGGTGCTGCCATCTGTGTTCGCATGGTGCATGGTCTTTGGCAGATGCCAAACCCGACAACCCAGCAGTCCCATGCATCCCTCCGCGCCATCCCCATGTGTGCCAACAGGCAGACGTGCTGTTATCACACGGGTACTACAGTGAGGTGCAGGCCATAGCGCGCCACGTGCCTGCCAGCTGCCAGTGCGTGCTCCTCACCGCCACCTTCAGGTCTGCCCTCGCTCTCTTCCCCCTTCTCATCACCTCCCTCTCCCATTCCCCTCACTTCTCCACCGCCTCCTTCAAATCATCTCCCTCTCTCTCCACTCTTCTTCAGGTCTGCAGGGTCCCTCCCCTCATCCCTTCATGCCCGCCTGCCTGCACGCCTGCCTGTTTGTGCTCCAGATAATCTCTCCCATCACCCTCCGTCTCCCCCCAACTCCCGTCTTCCCCCACCCGCCAGTGACGACATAGAGCGCCTACAGAAGCTGGTGCTGCATAATCCAGTGGTCGTGCGACTAGGGGACAGCTCAGGCCTCCTTGAGGATGCCCAGGGGGATGCTGGGGTTGCTGGGGGTGTGGGTTTGGGAGTGGAAGGAAATGCAGCAGCAGAGGCAGCTGCAGCAGGAGAGGCAGCAGAAGTAGGTGCAGGAGGTCAGGGTAACCAGAACCAGTCTCTCCTGCCGCCCAATATTCGCCAGTTTGCCGTCCGCTGCGAGGAAAAGGACAAGCTACTCCACCTGCTCGCGCTGATTCGCCTGCAGCTGCTGCAGAAAAAGGTTCTCATTTTCACCTCCACTGTCGAAGCCGGTTTCCGGGTGAAACTTTTCCTCGAGCAGTTTGGCATCCGGGCAGCCGTGCTGAATTCCGAGCTGCCCGTTGCGTCGCGGCTGCACATCCTGCACGATTTCAACGCCGGAAAGTTTTTCTTCCTCATTGCCACAGACGATGACAATGGGGGGCTCAATGCTAAAGATAGTGGGAAGCAGGGGGATTCTGGTCGGGACGCTAAGCGGCAACGAGTAAGGATAGCTGAGGGAGGTGAGGGAGGGAGGGAGCAGGGAGAAGAGGAGGTGGAGAGGGATACGGGGGAGTACGGAGTGGTGAGGGGGATAGACTTCAAGAACGTGAGGACAGTGATCAACTACAGTGTGCCGAACCAGCTTGCTCCATACGTGCATCGGGTGGGGAGGACCGGCCGAGCCAGCAGCGTTGGCATGGCAATAACTCTGGTATGGCAATTCTTCCATTTCACGTTTGCCACAGCTTTCAGTCCCTCGTTTTTGCAACCCTCGTTTGTGGAACACAGACATGCCGCACTCTCAATCCCTTGCTCGCTGATTGCTGTTCCCCGCCCAATCGGTGCGTGCCAGGTGTCCCCAAAAGAGGTTCCGCTATTGGAGGTACTAGACAGGAAGATTGCCCAATCCATGGCATGTGCGACCAAGTGTGGGGGTGGCAGTGACAGCAGCAAGGACCGCCCACATCATGGGAGCGAGCATGGGAAGAACGGGTTGAGGGGGGAACGGGGGAGAGGGAGCAGTAGGAAGCGAGCAAGGGAAGGAGAGGATGAGGAGGGGGATGTGAGTGAAGAGGAGGGGGAAGTGGAGGAGGATCAGGAGGAGGGTGAGGAGGAGGGAACAGATGAGGATGAGGAGGAATATGAGGAGGAACAGGAGGATTCAGATGAGTCAGGGGAAGAAGAGTCCGAGGAAGAGGAAGAGGATGAAGAGGAGAAGGAAGAAGCAAAGCCAAAGCCGTACGAGTGCAGGGCGATAGTGCCGTACCCATACCTGCCGAAGGAGGGCGTGGAGGCTCTGAGGTACCGCGGGGAGGACGTGGCAGGGAAGATCACACGTGTGGCCATCCGAGAGGCGAGAGCCAAGGAGCTGCGATGGGAGATACTGAATTCAGAGAAGCTCAAAGACCACTTCGACCTCAACCCAAAAGATAGAGGTGCGTGCCCTTCTGCCTCATTTTCCCTTCTGCACCCACTCCCTGCTTCTATCATGGTCACACGCGCGTGGCCATCCGAGAGGCGAGAGCCAAGGAGCTGCGATGGGAGATTCTCAACTCGGAGAAGCTTAAAGACCACTTCGACCTCAATCCCAAGGACAGAGGTGGGTGCCCTTCCCTGCCTCTCCCTTCTCCATCTAACCCCCCGTTCTCTCTTCTTCATCCGCTCCCCCTACCATCATCCCCTCACCAGCCAGCTTGTCTAGGAGCGTGTCCCTCAACCCCTCTCCACCCTCCCTTCTACAAGGGAGTCATAGCGTGCCTGTTCCGCCTGTTCTTTCCTACATGGCTGCATGCCAACCCTCCTCGAGCACACAAGTGTGCTTCCTTCGCCTCCTCATTTCACACACACCGCCTCACTGTCTGTCATCCCATTTTTTCCTCCACCCCCCCCACGAGACCTCCTGAAGCACGACAAGGTGCTGGCCAAGGTTGCCCCCTCAGATCACCCTCACATTTTCTCGCTGCCTCACCACCTTTCACCCCATTGTTTGCTCCACCGCCCCCCACCAGACCTCCTGAAGCACGACAAGGTGCTGGCCAAGGTTGCCCCCTCAGATCACCCTCACATTCCCTCACTGCCTCACCACCTTTCACCCCATTGTTTGCTCCACCGCCCCCCACCAGACCTCCTGAAGCACAACAAGGTGCTGGCCAAGGTTGCCCCCTCAGATCACCCTCACATTCCCTCACTGCCTCACCACCTTTCACCCCATTGTTTGCTCCACCGCCCCCCACCAGACCTCCTGAAGCACGACAAGGTGCTGGCCAAGGTTGCCCCCTCAGATCACCCTCACATTCCCTCACTGCCTCACCACCTTTCACCCCATTGTTTGCTCCACCGCCCCCCACCAGACCTCCTGAAGCACGACAAGGTGCTGGCCAAGGTTGCCCCCTCCCCGCACCTCAAGGTCCTCCCAACGTACCTCCGTGCCGAAGCTGTCACGGAGGCTCGGCGCAAGTTCCTAACCGAGCTTCCCCCTGCAGAGCAAGACAGCCGGGATGGGGGGAAAGGGGGGAGAGGAGGGAGAGGAGGGGGGTTTAGCAGAGGTCACAGGGGGAGGGGTGGGGGACGGGGGCGGGGAGGAGGGGGGAGAGGACGAGGGGGGCGGGGAGGCAAGGGCAGATCGAACGATCCGTTGAAAACGTTCAGTGCCAAGTAGCACGCATGCATGCCTTGAGATGTCTCAAAAATAAGAAGAGGAGGCAGGGGCAGATCAAACGATCCGTTGGAAACATGCGCGCATGCTCTTTGTGGTGTACCTACTAGTTGCGAAAACTCTATTCTAGCTGCCTCGAGTGACACGCATGGACACACGTGGTGCCTGCATGAGTTCGGCGTGCACGTTATTAAGCGCCTCGATAACTGCCTTGCCTTGTCAAGCGCATTGTATGCAACCAGGAAGCGACGTGCAGCTAATGCAAACCAGCATTCAACCATCCATGTGAAAGGAAATGGAAGCTAGAGGGAGAAGAGGATCACCATCAGCAGAGGAGAACTCGTCCACCACCACGCTGGTACTTGCTTTACCGCTCGCATTCACCTGTTCTGGTCCACTCCTCTCCTCACCATTAGGATCACCATCACCAATTTCTGTGCTGCTGCGCTAGCCTGCACCCCTGATGCTCCACTCCAATCCTCACCAATAGGATCACCATCACCCCATACAGGTACGCCAGTAACTGGCTTCCTCTGCGTCCATTGTCCTCTGCACCTTGTCCTCCTCTGTACCCTATCCTAAAAGCTAAGACAAATATCTCTACAGCATACAGGTGAGGTCACCAGCTGCTACCTACATGAGTGAGCAAGAGCCACAAGTTCTCCTATCTCATCTCCTCGTCACAACCACAAGCATATTATGATCCTCCCTCCTGTCCCAACATCAAAACAAGTTCTGGTTTTTTTATGTGTTCCTTCTCGCTGGTATGTAAACTTTCACTTTCTACCACTGTTCGTTTTCCTCTTCTGCATGCATCAGGGATAACCGCTGCCCTGTAGTCAGAGTGGGGTTAGCGTACCTGTAGTTAGCGCTGCCCTGTAGTCAGTGTGGGGTTATCGTACCTGTAGTTAGGTGCTGCCCTGTTGCTAGCGTGTGGGTGGGAGGGTGGTTGTGTAGGTGGGGTGGGTGGGTGGGTGGACGGACCAGCAGGAGTGACAAACGGTCCAGGGGGAGCGGCCGGAAAGGTGGAGGGGAATGATGGAGAGAGGATGGGGGGGTGGATAGGAGGGGAAGAAGGGGGGAGGGAGAGGGGGCGATTTTTCCCCGCCAGCAAGTTCAAGACCTAAGCAGAGATTCCTAAACCTTCTCGGACCTAATGCTAAGTTATGAGTCTCAACTCTTCAGCCTTCATTCTTCAGTCTCTGAGTATCCTCGACCTTCCACAAGCGTAGGTGCTGCAGTGTTGGCCTGCGAGAGTAAGGAATCAAGGCAGCAAGGAATGAGTCAGAAGGGCAGGGACTGGAGAGAGGATGGGATGGGCGGAGGGAAACGAGGCGCAGGAAGGGGGTGAAAGAGGCAGGAAGAGGGAGTGAGTGAGCAAAAGCCAGGCACAATCAGACAGCAACAGTATGAAGCAATGAGGAATGACTACAGGAACGCGAAATAAGTGTGCAAACCTCAGGGTTGGATGGGCCACTGCTGTGCTGCTGCTGGCGTGATGCTCTTGGAGTATATCGATGGGATTGTTGTAAGCACCATCCACAGTAGCACGAGAGGGACCGCATGCACCATCGCCATCAGCAGAACCAACGCCATCACCGGAAGCACCAAAGTCATCACCAGCACGGGTGGTGCTGGGATAAGATGGGTAGAGACAGGGTAAGTGCAGAGAAACAGGCAAGTGAGAGGCACGGACGCGGACCTGCGCAGGCTCGGGATGGAAGCGGCCCAGGAGGTGCTGCTGAAACTGGGAGTGGCAGATGAGCAGATTCAAAAGTTGGGGCGCTGGCACAGGATAGCACTTGTCAGGAAGCTTTCTTCGGAGCAAGCGGCTGCTGCTGCGGGGAAGAGTGGTGACTCCGTTGCTGCGCTGAATAAGTTTGCAAGGGGGCAACGCATGTCGTTTTCTCAGCTGCAGATGCAGACGCGGAGCAAGTTCCAGGAGGTGTGGGAGAAGCAGGTCAGGAGCTTGTCTGCTGTGGCGGAAGGAGGAGGAGGAGGAGGAGGAGGAGGAAGAGCTGTTTTTTGTTGACTTAGACTCGTTTGCGGGGGACTTGGAGAATTTGCTGGAGGCTGAGGAGGGAGGGGAGGAGGAGAGGGAGGGGGGTGGGGCGAGGGGAGGGGGTGTGGGGGGGATGAGGAGGAGGAGGGCTTGGGAGGTGCAGCGAGAGGAGGAGCTTGAGGATGAGGAGGCAGAGGCAGCTGCCCTCAGGCGCATGCTGCTGGAAGGTAGGTTGGGAATGGTTGTGTGCCGTGACGGATGATGGCTGTGGGTGATGGGTGGTGTCTGTGGGTGAGCTGGTGTGTGGTGAGGTTCAAGAGTGGGTGTGGGAGGTGCAGCGGGAGGAGCTGGAGGATGTGGAGGAGGAGGCTGCTGCCCTCAGGCGCATGCTGCTTGAAGCCACCTTCAAGGAATGGTTGTATGCGGTGACAAGGCGCATGCTGCTGGAAGGTTGGGGACGCTTAGTGGGGGCGCTAAGTGGGGGACGCGCCTTGGTCCACGCGCGCGCCTTGGTCCGGGGGTGAACCTTCATCAGGGGTGAACCTTCATCCGGGGGCGCGCCTTGGTCCGGGGGCGCGCCTTGGTCCGGGGGCGCGCCTTGGTCCGGGGGCGCGCCTTGGTCCGGGGGCGCGCCTTGGTCCGGGGGCGCGCCTTGGTCCGGGGGCGCGCCTTGGTCCGGGGGCGCGCCTTGGTCCGGGGGCGCGCCTTGGTCCGGGGGCGCGCCTTGGTCCGGGGGCGCGCCTTGGTCCGGGGGCGCGCCTTGGTCCGGGGGCGCGCCTTGGTCCGGGGGCGCGCCTTGGTCCGGGGGCGCGCCTTGGTCCGGGGGCGCGCCTTGGTCCGGGGGCGCGCCTTGGTCCGGGGGCGCGCCTTGGTCCGGGGGCGCGCCTTGGTCCGGGGGCGCGCCTTGGTCCGGGGGCGCGCCTTGGTCCGGGGGCGCGCCTTGGTCTGGGGGGCGCGCCTTGGTCCCGGGGGCGCGCCTTGGCCCGGGGGCGCGCCTTGGCCGGGGCGCGCCTTGGTCCGGGGGCGCGCCTTGGTCCGGGGGCGCGCCTTGGTCCGGGGGCGCGCCTTGGTCCGGGGGCGCGCCTTGGTCCGGGGGCGCGCCTTGGTCCGGGGGCGCGCCTTGGTCCGGGGGCGCGCCTTGGTCCGGGGGCGCGCCTTGGTCCGGGGGCGCGCCTTGGTCCGGGGGCGCGCCTTGGTCCGGGGGCGCGCCTTGGTCCGGGGGCGCGCCTTGGTCCGGGGGCGCGCCTTGGTCCGGGGGCGCGCCTTGGTCCGGGGGCGCGCCTTGGTCCGGGGGCGCGCCTTGGTCCGGGGGCGCGCCTTGGTCCGGGGGCGCGCCTTGGTCCGGGGGCGCGCCTTGGTCCGGGGGCGCGCCTTGGTCCGGGGGCGCGCCTTGGTCCGGGGGCGCGCCTTGGTCCGGGGGCGCGCCTTGGTCCGGGGGCGCGCCTTGGTCCGGGGGCGCGCCTTGGTCCAGGGTGATTGACAAAACAAGGAGTCAAATACGATTGCAAGGATGAATGCAAGAGTAGGCAATCGAGTATGCAAACCAGTGGATCTATAGGCCAACCTCAAGTGTGGAGTTTCGCTCCTGATGTGTCAGTTTGAGTGCTGCTCTCCATCCGGCATCAGCCTCACCAGCAGCACCAGCGCCATCAACAGCAGCACCCGCCCGCACGATCACACAAAACCCATTGAACTTCTGCTGTTGAGATGGGATGGGCAGAGAGAGGTTTGGAGAGAGTAAGCGAGCCAGAAAACGTGGGGCAGACTGCGAGAGCAAGAGCTTTGGAGCATATCACCACAAATGCAGAAATGCGGACCGAGTATGCAAACCAGTGGTTGGATGGGCCACGGCTATTTTGAAGTGACCCTCGTGGAGTGTCACTCGTATGGGGGTGCTTGCAGGACAGTGGCGTCAGGCTTCCAGGAGGCTCGCACACCGCTGTGACTGCCTGCCGTGCGTCATCCCACCGCCCTCCCTCCCCGCACCACGCTGCCATAGCACCAGACGAGATGGGAAGAAGAGCAAGAAAACAGACCAGGGGAAAGGAAACCAAGTAGTCAGTAGAAGAAAGAAAGTAGTGAAATGCATGCAAGGAGGCATAGATAACAAGACGAATCAGTGGAGGAAACGAAAGTTGACGATTTAAAAAACATGTGGCACTGTGACGCTGTGAAAGGGGAGGCGATGGTAGCACACAGCACTAGGGCGCCGAGCTAGCAGGCAAACAAGCAAGGGACGCAGCATGATTATGAATGCATTCTACTCTAACCCCCTACGACTCTAGTATGAGCTCAAGCCGCCCCAGTGCCATGCGCTACCATCGCCAAACGCCGCTCATCTCTCACTCAACTTTTGATCGCTCCCATTCGAAAATGGGCTCATTTGTTTCGAGCACGCGGTGACGGAAGAATGCGGTGCAAAAAGTGGGCAATGATAAACACGAAGCAGAAGCGGTAAGGATGGCAAGGGCGAAGGGAGAGGGAACTTAGCCGTATGGGGGTGCTTGCAGGACAGTGGCGTCAGGCTTCCAGGAGGCTCGCACACCGCTGTGACTGCCTGCCGTGCGTCATCCCACCGCCCTCCCTCCCCGCACCACGCTGCCATAGCACCAGACGGGATGGGAAGGAGTGCAAGAAAGGAACCCAAGTAGTCAGTAGAAGCATGAAAGTAGTGAAATGCATGCAAGACTGGTCCCCACCGTGCCCCACCGTGCCCCACCTCGCCCCACCGTTTTCCACCGTGCCCCACCTGGTCGCGGAACACTGTGAGCCCCTCCTTGAGTGTTAGCTGGAAGCAGTCATGACACGTCACCCTGCCAGTGAGGGAGGAGGGAAAGAGGGGGAGGGAAAGAGGGGGGGGGGGGGAAGAGGGGGAGGGAAAGAGGGGGAGGGAAAGAGGGGAAGGAAAGAGGGGGATGGACAGAGGGGGAGGAACAGAGCAACCCCTGGCAGGCGCCCTAAACCAGAGAGAGGGGGCAAGGGGTCGAGGAAAAGGGGGGTGGGGGAAGGGGAGAGAGGCGGAGGGAGTGAGGGAGAGAGGGGACGAAGGGGAGAAGGGGAGAGGGAATGAGGGAGAGAATGCGAGGGGCAGATGAGAGAGGGGGAAAGAGCAAGAGCGAGAGAGCGAGCGATGGAGAGAGGGGACGAGGGGGAGAGGGGAGGGGACATGGGCACGAGGCAGAGGCAGACAATGAGAGCACGGGAAGTGTGAACATTTGAGCACAAAGGGCGGTCACAAGGCAAGGCCTGCAGTGTGGCAGGAGTCTCACCTGTTGCCCGTCCAGTTGTGGAACTACCGGCGAGGAGGAGGGAGTGGAGACCATGAGATCCGCGTTTAAAGGGGCAGAGTGGAGCAGCAGCGGGCAATGGAGACACAGCACACACCGCACCATACCCCACCCCCTCACACACCAACCCGCATCACACACACGCACACAGACCTCCTCCCCGCTCCCTTCCCCCCCTTCCCCCCCCTGCCCCCCTTCCACATACGCACACCATGACCAACCCCACACACGCGTACACACACAAAACACATGCACGCAACGAGGAGGCTGGATGAACCACTGAAGTCGCTAAACGAAACACACAGAATAGCTGGAGCATACAAGAGCAAGAGGCGGGGTAGAGAGGCGAAAGTGAAAACTGGAAGGTTAAACGAAACAGCAAGATTCGAGGTTGGAGCAGGGGAGGGAGGGGAGGGGGTGGGCGAAGGGGAAGGGGAAGGGGGGGAGGGGCAGAATAGCTGGAGCATACAAGAGCAAGAGGCGGGGTAGAGCGGCAAAATAAAAAACTGGAAAAAGGTAAACGAAATAGCAGAATTCGAGGTTCGAAAAGGGAGGAGAAGGGGAAGGGGAGGGCGAGGGGGAAGGGGAGGGAGGGAGGGCGAGGGGGACGGGGAGGGGGAGGAGATGGGGAGCGGGTGTAGGAGGGGGAGGGGAGTGGGAGAGGCAAAGCAGCAATGGAAGGGCAAAGATGCAATGGAAGGGCGGCAGGCAAGGCAAGGCAAGGCGTGCAGGGCACACCTGGTGGGCAATGACCCCTCCATAGCCGCATAGTCGCCATCCGTGGGCGCCTCTGGCGAGACCAGCACCATGCGCGAGTTGACCATCTGCCACGGGCGAGGTGCACGCAGAGGGGCAGGGGCGAGATGGGGGACAGGGGCGACACGAGCAAAAGGGGGGACAGGGGCAGGGGGGAGGCGGAGGAATGGCATGGACGAAGGGCAGATTGAGGAGAAGGCAGCACACAGGGCACATGAATAGCAACCTCAGAGGGTGCACAAACGGTCCGTTGCAGATGCAAGTTCAAACGATACTGGCACATGAAACACCATGTGTAGCGGATGGCAGATGGATGGCACTCACGTTGAGGCTCTTATTCTCCATGGCTCCCATCTTGATATCCGGCACCTGGTGAGTAACAGGAGGCGGCAGGAACAGAGATAAGGTGAGTGACTGGGCGGAAGGGAGGGTGGTCGCAGAGAAAACAAGAACAATGAGAAGAGGAAACGAAAGATGAAGACAAAAAGCACGTGGCACTGTGACGCTGTGAAAGGGGAGGCGATGGTAGCACACAGCACTAGGGCGCCGAGCTAGCAGGCAAATTAGGAAGGGACGCAGCATGATTATGAATGCATTCTACTCTAACCCCCTACGACTCTAGTATGAGCTCAAGCCGCCCCAGTGCCATGCGCTACCATCGCCAAACGCCGCTCATTTCACTGTCAACTTTTGATCGCTCCCATTCGAAAATGGGCTCATTTGTTTCAAGGACGCGGTGACGGAAGAATGCGGTACAAAAGTGGGCAATGATAAACGCGAAGCAGAAGCGGTAAGGAAGGCAATGGCGGAGGGAGAGGGAACTTAGCCGTATGGGGGTGCTTGCAGGACAGTGGCGTCAGGCTTCCAGGAGGCTCGCACACCGCTGTGACTGCCTGCCGTGCGTCATCCCACCGCCCTCCCTCCCCGCACCACGCTGCCATAGCACCAGACGAGAGGGGTGGAGCAAAGAAGAGCAAAAGAACCCAAGTAGTCAGTAGAAGAAAGAAAGTAGTGAAATGCATGCAAGGAGGCAGCGATAACAAGAATGATGAGTAGAGGAAACGAAAGTTAAAGATTAAAAGCACGTGGCACTGTGACGCTGTGAAAGGGGAGGCGATGGTAGCACACAGCACTAGGGCGCCGAGCTAGCAGGCAAATTAGGAAGGGACGCAGCATGATTATGAATGCATTCTACTCTAACCCCCTACGACTCTAGTATGAGCTCAAGCCGCCCCAGTGCCATGCGCTACCATCGCCAAACGCCGCTCATCTCTCACTCAACTTTTGATCGCTCCCATTCGAAAATGGGCTCATTTGTTTCGAGCACGCGGTGACGGAATAATGGGGTACAAAAGTGGGCAATGATAAACACGAAGCAGAAGCGGTAAGGATGGCAAGGGCGAAGGGAGAGGGAACTTAGCCGTATGGGGGTGCTTGCAGGACAGTGGCGTCAGGCTTCCAGGAGGCTCGCACACCGCTGTGACTGCCTGCCGTGCGTCATCCCACCGCCCTCCCTCCCCGCACCACGCTGCCATAGCACCAGACGAGATGGAGAGCAAGAAAACAGAGCAGGGGAAAGGACGCCAATTAGTCAGTAGAAGCATGAAAGTAGTGAAATGCATGCAAGGAGGCAGAGATAACAAGAATTATGAGTAGAGGAAACGAAAGTTGAAGATAAAAAGCACGTGGCACTGTGACGCTGTGAAAGGGGAGGCGATGGTAGCACACAGCACTAGGGAGCCGAGCTAGCAGGCAAATAAGGATGGGACGCAGCATGATTATGAATGCATTCTACTCTAACCCCCTACGACTCTAGTATGAGCTCAAGCCGCCCCAGTGCCATGCGCTACCATCGCCAAACGCCGCTCATCTCTCACTCAACTTTTGATCGCTCCCATTCGAAAATGGGCTCATTTGTTCAAGCACGCGGTGACGGAAGAATGCGGTACAAAAGTGGGCAATGAAAAAACACGAAGCAGAAGCGGTAAGGATGGCAAGGGCGAAGGGAGAGGGAACTTAGCCGTATGGGGGTGCTTGCAGGACAGTGGCGTCAGGCTTCCAGGAGGCTCGCACACCGCTGTGACTGCCTGCCGTGCGTCATCCCACCGCCCTCCCTCCCCGCACCACGCTGCCATAGCACCAGACGAGATGGGAAGGAGAGCAAGAAAACAGAGCAGGGGAAAGGAACACAAGTAGTTAATAGAAGCATGAAAGTAGTGAAATGCATGCAAGGAGGCAGATACCAAGAACGAACGCGTAGCGGAAACAAAGATGAGGATACAAAGCATGAGGAGGAGATGGTAGCACACAGCACTAGTGCAGCGAGCTAGGAGGCAAGGGGGGACGAGGTAAGAAGGAGACGCGAGCATGAGTGTAAGTGCATTCTACTCTATCCCTCTACGACTCTAGTGTGAGCTCAAGCCGTCCTAGTGCCATGCGCTACCATCGCCAATCGCCGCTCCCTCTCACTCAACATTTTTTTCGAAGCAAGCAAAGGGGATACTGATAAATACGAAGCAGAAGCGGTAAAGGTGACAAGGGGAAAAAGGGACGAAACTTAGCTGAATGGGGTTTGCTTGCAAGCGGCAGAAGCAGCGAGGCAGCAGTCCAGCAGCGGGATCCACTCTTCCCACTTCGCGACTCCGAATGAGCGTCACTCGTTTTGTTGATGTGACTTCGGCCGTCATTGTATTCGCCTCTGTTACGCCCAGCGCTTAGATCGTAACCGTGAGAAATCACCATCTCGATCGTCACCGTCGGTTAGCCCGCTTCAGTCGCCACCGTGTCAATCGTCACCGTTGGTAAGTTTCGCTTCAATCGTCACCGTCTCAATCGTCACCATCGGGAAGCGCCGCTTTGATCGTCACCGTCGGGAAGCGTCACTGTGGGAAATTGCAATCCTAGTCGTCACCTTCGGAAAGAGTCGCTTTATTCGTCACCGTGGACAATCGTCTTCATACTCGTACCGACGGAAAGCGTCACTTCAATCGTCGCCGTTCTAAGTCATCATCTCGATCGTCACCGTCAGAACTCGTCGGCTCGGCCGTCAGCGTCAGTAGTCGTACGCCTGATCGTCACCGTCATAAGCGGCCGTCCCTGACCGTGGGAAGTGGCCGTGTCGTTCGTCACCGTCGGGAAGCACCCTCTCGATCACAACCGCGAGATGGCGACGTCTCGCTACTCTAAGTCAGAGGGACTCATCACTAACCCCGTGAAATCATTCGGCGCTGCCTTCGCAGTGTAAAACAGCTGTCGCCGGCCGGACATATCACCAAATCGAAACGTTATCGCTGCTGGAGAGCGGCTTCGCCTCGGTACTCGAAGGAGCGTATGGAGATCGGGAGAAGATTCATGATGCAGTTCGGCAAACCCCCTCTGTTCCGCGCTCGTCAGATGTCTAGAATACTGGAGTAGAAATCAGAACTGCAGTCAAGAGAGTAATTGCTGGATGACGGAAATGAAACTGCTCCGAATGACTACAACTCCTAAGCTTAGAATGTCTCTGTCTGACTAGACCATACGCAAAGCTCGGTTACATCTTAACGAAGACTACGACTGAGGTTAACCCTAAAAGGTTACTGGAACGCGTCAGGAGGCACAGCCATGGATTGAACGATCAGTAATCTCCATCTTGACGACCTCGAGATAAACGCATATGAAGATCACGAAGACTAACACTGCTAACGAGAACCATTAATTGTTTGTAACAGATTGGCGACAGCCATGGACTGAGCTTAGCGAGCTTATCCTCGAGAACTCCACGAGTGAACTGTGGTGATCATGGTTAGAAGGAATCGCATTCAAGGAAGGTGGAGAATGGACCTTCAGGAAGGGAGAAAGCCATCCACTGAAACGTCTGGTTCAGTGGGGGAAAACCAGGAGATCTAGACGGGTAGAAAGTGGTGAAGCAGGATTCACAGAAACGAAAACCATTTACATTGGTCAGGTGGAGGATGCCGCCACACTGCCGACGGGATGGCAGTGTCGTGAGAGCGTTGACGACGGGGATACCCATTTCGTCAGTAGAAAATTGAGTTTTGCGAGAAAATCCTCGGGGTCTCCGCAGCCAGGCGGTCCCGCAGCTTACCATTTGCGCGGGAATTGTGTGTCAGAAGCGCATGCCCCTGACACAACACCATGATGTCATGTGATGCGCCATGGCGATGATGCCCACCATGACAATGCTTATCAGAATATCGCGATACAGAAATCTTTGAGGAACTTTTAGAAGCTAACTAATTATAACAGATTGTATAACCAAATTACAAATGGCAATCAGTACAATGTACTGTAAATACAGAAAAAACGTCTGAAACACAAACCACTGATTAAAATTGCATTTAGTCATTGCCATATCAAAGGCCTAGAAAACCGTCAAGGACGGTTCACTCCATCCACGCACCACCGGGTGTGCATCCAATATAGGTTTGACACCACCACCCGTTACACTCCTCTTCGCTCCCTTAATCAACATGATGTCCTCCCCTTTTCCTCAAGCCTACTAGATTCTGCCACCCACACCCAACATGTTGTCTTCTGCCAACACTTAAAGTGAGGGTGTAGACATCAAGTGTGGGTGTGGGTGTGCGGAGGGTTGAAAGTGTAGACACCAACACTTTAATACCCTTTCAACCCTCCGCACACCCACACCCACCAAACTACCTACACACAACCACCCACATTCAGTGTTCTGCCACCACCACCGACCCACCCATCCAACCCATCCAACCCAGCCATCCACCCCCCATCCCTCCTTCCACCTCCCAACCAACCATCCCACACCACACACCCAACAACACCACCAGCCCACCAGCACCAACTACCCTCCACCCAATCACTCATGACCAGCAAACCCACCTACCCACTAACACCCAAACCTAACCCAACCACCAACCTTCAACCTCCCAAACACTCACCACCCATCCCACTCTCACACACACCATAGGGGGTTACAGCTAACTTCCCTCTCTCCCACTCACCCATATTTTGGGTCATCCCTACCTCCCACCCACCCACTTTGGGGTTTCAGCCCCATTCTCTCTTTCCACTCACCCGCCTTACCGGATTCTACCTCCATTTTTCTCTCCCACCCTTGGAGGTTGAATCACCCGCCTTAGCGGATTTGGCCCCCATATCTCTTCCACTCAATCACCACCCAAGGGGATTCAACTGTCATCACACTTTCCCACCCACCCACGTTGGGGATTTCAGCCCCCATCCAACTCTCCTCCACACCTTAGGGGTTTCAGTCCCCCTCCCTCTCTCCCACTCCACCACCAGAGGGGATTCAACCCCCCATTTCCCAGTGACACTCACACCCAGCCCCATCCCTCTCCCTCTCACCC